AGCCTACCTTGATCCAATGTGATTGCTATAACTCAGAATACACAAGGTATATATCGCAAACATATGTATCTCTCAGGGGCTAGATACAGAGATACAAATATTTCTTTTGTACAAAAAAAAAAACAAATATCTTTGAACCTATGTTGTAGATGCGACTGGATCTTATACATGATCGATTTATCTTGACGTTCGAAGGGAGAAGGCTAATGCTCGGCACGGAGAAACTTTCCGCCAGCTGAGCTCGGGTTACGGTGATGCACCTGGCTTGATCTCATCCCCAACATCACCAGCTCCCATCTTCTCCCTGCTCTATTGCATCGTTTTTTTTTACTCGTGCTAGTCCTGTCAGCATCTCCAGTTCCCCATCGTCACCATGGGGTCTGATCCGCAGTACATCAAGTTCCCTAACCTCTCCATCGCCCAACATGTCTTCAACCTCTCCAACCCAGCATGCGCCCCAGCCGTCCAGCAGACATCATTGAAGAAACTCCAAGATGTTATCTCGGAGCACAAAATGGCTCCTTTCTACCGGCATCTAGCCCATCCCACCGAAGGCATCTTGAACAACTCCGGCGAAGGCGTAACACAGCTCCCACAAAATGGAGGCAACTCAACGCAGCCTCTCATCACGTCCAATCTTCTTGCATCTCGCAAAACACCGCTCAAGTTTGATTTCCCTTGGGATGAGAAGCTCTACCAGTCTCTACTGGAGGATAACAAGAAAGAACTGGAGACCTTCCAGAAGGAGGAAGATGACGCAGAAGAGGCTGCTGGGGAGACTGAAGTACAAGCTGCGCGCGGGAAGCGAGCTGAGTTCTGGGCTCGTGTGGGAGATAAGGTGAGAATTCTTCTATCTTTGTCAAGCTTCTGAGTTTGCGAGCTGACACCAGTATTCCAATAGGACAAAGCACTCGAATCGCACGAAGCCCTCCTCGAAAAGACCGGATTCCTCGGCACCAAGATTGATCTCGTGATGGCTATGCTTCGCATTGGACTCTTCTTCGGCGACCTTTTGTTTGTGAACAAGACCATTGAGCGAGCGGAGACCTTGGTAGAGAGTGGTGGAGACTGGGACCGTAGAAACCGTCTCAAGGCATACAAGGGATTACATTTGCTCACCATTCGTTCTTACAGCCTTGCCGCTCCTCTCCTTCTCGACAGTCTGTCTACCTTCACAAGCTACGAACTTTGTAGCTATTCTTCGCTGGTGATTTACTCGGTGCTTGCGGGATCGTTGTCCCTCAAGCGTGTGGACTTCAAGGCCAAGGTGGTGGATGCACCAGAGATCAAGGCCATCCTTGGCTCCGGGGAAGACCAACTGGCTGCGCTGAGTGGGGAACTCTCATCAGGCCCCGGTGCGCGGGATGAGGAGATGAAGGATGCAACGGCCTCACTACCCACACCCGCCGGTGCCAAGACCGCTGTCAACATCTCCTCTTTCTCAACCGGTTCCGGTGCGCCAGTAGAGGCCGAGGTGCCCGTTGATTTCGCACCGCTCGCAAACCTGGTTACCAGTCTCTACAATGGCAACTACCGCTCGTTCTTTGTGGCCCTCGCGGCCGTTGAGGACCAGTTCCTGACACAAGACCGGTATCTGCATGAGCACCGGGCTTGGTTTGTTCGTGAGATGCGACTGCGCGCCTACCAGCAGCTTCTTCAAAGCTACCGTGTGGTGGGGCTGAGTGGTATGGCTAACGACTTCGGTGTGACGGTGGACTACTTGGACCGGTACGTGCTGTCTAAATCTCTTCAATTCGCAATTCATTTTCTGACCTCAATCACAGGGATCTTGCCAAATTCATTTCAAACAACCGCATTGCATGCACTATCGATCGTGTCAATGGTATCATCGAGACGAATCGACCAGATGACAAGAACAAGCAGTATGCCGATGTGGTGAAGCATGGTGACACTCTGATCACCAAGATCCAGAAGTACGGCCAAGCTGTGCGTCTTCGGGGGAGTGAGCGAAGCTAAAGTGGTATATCTACGAACTTGGAGGCATCCTGAGCCTCAAACCCACCTATGATCAACTATGTATGCCTGAATGGAGAATCTTACCGCGTGTCCTTAAACCCATTGAACCCATAGATCCTATGACATGCCACCCATGCCATGACCTGATCAATCCCTGCCTAAAAGTAAATCCTTCAAGCCCCCGCACCGGGCAGCTCCGGAAAATGGCTCAACATCCGGCGACCGGTCTGAGTTTTCCTCGGAAAATGATCGCCGATCATGTTATCATACATGAACATGGATGATCCCCAATCCAAAATGTATATACGCAGTAGTTCTTATCATTGACCAAATTCTCGGCGCTGTAGCCGCATCTCCCGCGTGTATCCTCAAAATGTCTGATATCTCAGAACATCCTTATCGTAATCGGCTTGCCGGTGTGGGGAAATGCTGAGTCACAGCCTCACCGCCCAATGGAAATATATTTTTTTCCCCCTTCTTCTCCCGATCGCAATCGGACAATCACGACAGGGGTGTCAAAAGGACGTTTTTAATTGATCAATCTAATTCTTGATTGACCATTCGTTAAAATGTCCTGGCAATATAAGCTCGCATCCAGTATGCGGGCCTCTCCGCTACGGGTACTCCGGTCGAATGGCCTCCTACATCGCCCGGCCGCACGTGGCGCTGCGGGGTGTCTCTACGCTAGATCAGGTACGTGAGATCCCGATGTCACCCCAGCTTACATAGTTGGGGGACCTCCGCAATCCTTGGGCATTTTACCTCATTTTATGGTGTGATTTCTTGTCTTGTATCTCCCCATTTTTTTTGGCCATTTCAACAGATTTGCGGCCTTTATATACTTGATTCTCCTAGCTACTGGGATACTACATAGTCTCTTTATTCTAAACCCTCACTAACCTCCTTCGGGTCAATCCAGAGCCCATCATGACTCAAACCACCGTCTCATTTACCGCTAAGCGCACCCTCTCGGCCGTCCAGACCCGCAAGTGCCTAAACGTCGACAACATCAACCAGCATGTTAAGGAGGCCAAGTACGCTGTGCGCGGTGAATTGGCCGTCAAGGCTGAGACTTACCGCCAGCGTCTGATTGATGGCGACAAGTCCCTGCCCTTTGACAGCGTCATCTTCGCCAACATCGGTAACCCCCAACAGCTCGATCAGAAGCCCATCACCTTCTTCCGCCAGGTCCTCAGTCTTGTCGAGAACCCCCTGTTGTTGAAAAACCCCGAGGTCCTCAAGGAGTCATTTGGATACAAGCAGGATGTGATCGACCGTGCCCAGACTCTTTTGGCCAATGTGCAGAGCGTTGGCGCTTACAGTCACAGCCAGGGTGCACCGGGCATCCGGGACAGTGTCGCGAAGTTCATTGAGAAGCGTGATGGCTTCCCTGCCAACCCCCAGGACCTGTTCCTGACTGCCGGTGCCTCATCGGGTGTAAGCACCCTTTTGAACGTCATCTGCAACGATCCCAGTGCAGGTATCCTAGTCCCTATTCCTCAGTACCCTCTTTACACCGCCAGCTTGACGCTATTGAATGCTCGCTGCGTTCCTTACCTCCTCGAGGAGGAGAAGGAATGGGGTACTGACGTCAACGCGATCCTCAAGTCCATGGAGGAGGCCAAGGCCGCCGGTACCGATGTGCGCGCCATTGTCGTCATCAACCCCGGTAACCCAACTGGTGCCTCTCTGAGCACCGACGACATCAAGAAGGTCCTTGATGTCGCCGCCGCTGAGAGCTTGGTCGTCATCGCTGATGAGGTGTACCAAACCAACGTTTTCCAGGGCGAGTTTGTCTCGTTCAAGAAGCGCCTTCGCCAGCTCCAGCAGGAGCAGCCCGGAAAATACGACGACGTCGAGCTGGTCTCGCTGCACAGTATCTCCAAGGGTATGGTGGGTGAGTGCGGTCACCGCGGTGGCTACTTCGAGCTTGCTGGTTTCGACCCCCTGGTCCAAGAGCAGATCTACAAGCTTGTCAGCATTGGCCTGTGCCCGCCGGTCGTCGCACAGTGCCTGCTCGAGTGCATGGTCAACCCTCCCCTCGAGGGCGATCCTAGCTACGAGCTCTACAACAAGGAATACAACTCTATCTCGGATGGTCTGCGCAAGCGTGCCCATTCCTTGTTCAACGCCTTCCAGCGCATGGAGGGTGTTGAGCTCCAGGAGCCCCAGGTACGTACTATACACTCGTTCAAATTGTTACGCATTTACTAATCATCTCAACAGGGTGCCATGTACCTCTTCCCCACCATTCACCTCCCCCAAAAGGCCATGGATGCCGCCGCCGCCGAGGGCCGCCCCGCCGATGAGTTCTACTGCTTGGCCCTGTTGGACGCCACAGGTGTCTGTGTCGTCCCCGGCTCCGGCTTCGGCCAAAAGGAGAACACTCTCCACTTCCGCACAACCTTCCTTGCCCCTGGCACCGACTGGGTCGAGCGCATCGTCAAGTTCCACTCCGAGTTCTTGGACAAGTACCGATGAATATGCACAAATGCACAAAAAGCTATATAAATGTGAACTGACCGTCCATCGCCACCTGTTTCACGTATATACGAGATGGATCGGTATCCATTTATATGCGGATATGTTCATACCCCTCTACGACGCAATGTTTCGAATATCTGAATTTGGATATGGATCTCGAATTGGTTCGCCCTCGATACCTCTAGACTACTGACTCTATTGGGCTTGCTATCTTCGATTTTCATTTTGGGTACTCTTCTGAGGCACTTATGCATCGCGTTTTGAATAGTGGTATACATTTGCATCGTTCTGTTTGATATAGGTACTGCATATCTCGGTTTTCCTTTTATAGAGAATGAATTCTACTTCATTGGTTCCTAACAAGTTATTGTATCTTTGTCCTTCTGTTCCTGTCCTTGATTTCATGTTTTGCTGGAGGTAAACGAATGGCAGAAGGGGGGATGGCTGGAAAGTATTGGGGAAAAATTAGAGGTGACATAAAGTGCCAATCCCATCTGATAATGATAGTGCAAATATTAGGATTCAGCGAATATTGCTATTCACTCTTCAAGTACGAAAGAGCAAAGCAAAGCATGATGATCGCTCCAGGGTATGCCTCTAGGCTCAGTCTCCTGGGACTCTGGAATATTCGTCTCACTTTGCGAGTTCTCCTGTCCATTCAGCTCCACTCGCTGAGCCTCCAATATTTCAATTCCACGCGCTTTAAGACCAAGCAGCGCAATTCTATCCATCCGATTCGGCGGAAATCGCTGTTTCCCATCCGCTCCCCATGTATACCCTGGTTCTTCAGGACGAAGGGCCAACCATGCATCTGTAAGTCCATTGGACTCTATGAGGACGGCATCTTCATCAAGAACCGGGTTGAAGTCACCAGCAATCAGCCCACAGCCTGCGCTACGCAGGAAAGAGGAGACAATGGATAGTTGCTGAGGTCTGTGAGAAGGTTTGATAGGCAGGGAATCCAGATGAACGTTTGCGAGCCGTACTCGTGTGGTAGAAGAAGCGTCTGTAGGTGAAGGAACGAAGAGATCACAAAATAGTACATCTCTTCGAAAATGACTAGGGAAAGCCACCCTCCACACAGGCCCTAGAGCAAACCTGCTCATTTCAGGGCCTGGTCGTGAAAAGCGTGCTTTGGATACTAGCGTCATTGTCGTGAAGGAATGTCTTGTCGGCGAGTTCTCATGTTCACTTGAGAACCACGATTCACGAATACGCTCGTCGCTTAAAATCAGTCGCAAACCCCGCTGTGAGACTTCTTGCAGGAATATTACGTCCACATTGGAATCTAAGTTGGTGATGAATGTGAGAATTTCAGTGACGCGTTCTTGTGCCCCCTCGGATAATGCGTCGATATTCCATGTCAAGAGAACTAGATCGGATGATAGTTCATCAGCGCGGGGTGGTTCTGCAGTTTCATTCGCGCTCACTGGATCCCACTGATTGGAGTTGGGGTCGAACTGGTGCCAGGACTGGAATTTTGGATCTGCTGATAGGTCGGTTGGAAGAGGTGTATCGTGTTTCCAGGACGTTATGCTTGTCCGAACACGTGCATAGATATCCATGGTGGGAATGAAGTTGGTTACTTTCAAGGTTGCCTGATCAGGTTTATGGCCCAAGGAAGGTTTGTCCGGGGCTCCGGGGTAGCTCTGGGATTAGTTAAGCATTGAGCCTCAGGCTGATCAGGAGAGAGGTGTAGTAATAACCTGAAGATATGTGGATCAATTATCGTATTCATAGTTTACTGGCTTTTTATAATAGCAATACCCAGATCTCATCAAGCCCCCCACGCATGATCCCTACTTTACATCTAGAATATGAGGATGTGTGAAATTGACGAAGATGACCGCTTTCGACGCCACAACTGGCCGCCTTTCCATGTCTTGTGTTGGGTCCGGGCGACAAACAGCGCTCTATGCTCGGTGGAGATTGTTATAGGGCGGGAAGCGAAGAATCGTGCAGCAAAGGAGGCACATTCCGAGCTGGCGTCCGAGCTGATGCCCCAACGACAACCCACGACGCGGTTATCTCTCAAAAGAGCAGCGAGTAAGAAAGCGGGCAAAATCACGCCCAGGTATCTCATGCTTTGATTCAAGAACATCAAGGGCTAATTTGGGGAGTTCACCATCCAAACTCGACAGTGATCATAAATCACATGTCCGATGACAGTAAGCTGGAGATGGATATCTGCGACTCTATAGTTTACGCCAAATAGGCATGACTGAAACGCGGGTTATAAGAGAAAATGGTTGGGATCGACAAGTCGTCAATTGACGGCCAAACGGCCCCCACCGATCTTCCTTTCGCACGGTCCTTACGAGGAACTGCAACATACCTACCCCCAGGGGCCAATATCGGACACAGGATCAAGCCTCTGTCTCCGTCCTAGTACCTCGCCTCACTTGGAAGAACCGCTTGAGCAGAAACTCGTATAAGACTGCTCAATGCCTGGCGTTCCATCAAGTCGAGCCTGTGAGGGATGTCGGCAGCAAAAAAAGAAGTGTGATGAATTAAAACCCAAATGTTCGCGGTGTACTCGCGCACGGATTCCATGTGTCAATAATGGAGCCCGACGCTTCAAGTTTCAATACCTGCAAGTCACCACCTCGAAGCCAGAAGAGCATCCTGTCGAGAGCTCGGCCACTATTTTGGTCCCCACTACAACCCACAAGGCCGACGACAGCCAGCCACGAGTCGCAAACACTAAAGCTAAACGAGCCCACCATACCAGCGGTAGAAAAGGGTGCGATAATTGCAGGTACGCCCCCTAAAACACTGCTTGGCGACCAGTTCTAACCAAGTCACCATTAATAGAACCCGGAAAGTACCTTGCGACGAGGTGAGGCCAGCATGCACACAGTGTGTCTCTACCGGCCGCAGGTGTGATAGCTATGCGACTACACCAGCCATTGAGCTCTCCAAGTCACAAAACCCTCCGATTTGGGCCCTTCAGGCTGTGGCCAGCCCTATTCCGCCTCTCCCTGACAAAAACCGCAAGGAATTGCGCAGTTTCCGTTTCTTCGTGGATGTGACAGCGCCTACTCTAGGAGACGCCTTTAATGCTATATTTTGGAAGGCGGAAATCCCTAGAGCCTGCTATCTTGACGGTGCCATCTGGCATGCAATTATTAGCCTCGCGTCGGCTCATGAATCTGCTGTTTCCACTATACCTGCTGGCATGTCTACAACACCTGACAACTTGCATACCCTTATGCACTATAACCTAGCCGTCCAGAACCTGCTCAAGTCTTACTCACCCGAGGGCTGGTGGCGGGTTCTTACCCTTAGCATTCTTTTTACCTCTATCTGCTGCTTGGAGAACAAGTACAACGAGGCACAGATGCATTTCAAGTATGGATACAAGCTGATATGCGATATTTCTACGCCCGAACATCCAGACCCGCATGGATCTCTGCCCGACGAACGAGCTCCAAATTGGAACCGGTTGCAAGGCCGAGTACCCATACCGGTATCTGTTGACTCTCTTCGATCCATGGTCGAAGCCTTCGAACTGCAATGTCGCAAGCTCGATGCTGCTAAAAGCCAATAGCTTCATACGCCACTTACGATTGCTTTAACATTAGTCTGGGTTTCTTTACAAATGATAATATTTTAAAAATATTTTCTCTAGAGCCATACCACGACCTCACAGTATGCTGACATTTGGTCGATTTTACAACTGCCTGGGTAGATATTAATAAGGTGACGATAGCGAGCTTCGTGTTCACATCCATGAGACAATTAGAGCAGATTCATAGATGGTAAGCTGTATTATTACCTACGTAGGCCTTAGTTCAATGCCTAGGTGCAGAGGGAAGGGGAGGTAATGTTACTTATACACGAAACATCACAACACCTATAGTCAACTATCACCCATATCATTGTCACCTAGTCTGAATATGTAGGCCACCACTGAATGATAATAATAAAAAAGGTCATTGTTTGACACTATCAAATAACAGCCTCCCATGCTGGGCAATATATATATATGGTGGATTATCCTTTGCCGGACCCACAAGCTACAACCCTAAAAAGAGAGAACCAAAGACAACAACTAATGACTTTAAGGGTTTGACATGAAGCTTAATGTGCAGTTTATGATAATGCAAATCTATTTAAATTAGAGAATATGCAGGGTCCATTCTATTCCTTGATAAATGCTCTTATTTCAAACGACGAGCTAAGACCGAACTCGATTCCTTTATATTCTAGGAGCTAGTCCTCAGCTGCATTGATCCCAACAAGAAAATCGTCATTAGTAGATACTTAAGCACAATAGTATACATATTACACCTCAACCTGACACGTCCTGTGACACAAAAGCGAAGAAGCGGTGAGAATTCCGCTCCGAGGTATGTTGTATGTAGACAGAAACAAAAGCAAAGAAGACAAACATAAACATACAGCAGCTGATTCATTCGAACCTATGACCTCAGAAAATCAATCAAACCCTATCCTACTAGCTATATCCTTCTAGATCCACGATAGTTCCCAATCCCAATGTCCATCTCCAACCAAAGACCCATACATATGCAAGGAAACAAACCCACTCACATACACCTTACGCTATGGTTTCGGTAACCGGCCATCGGTATCGGCGACCCACACTTCCAGATCGCACACGCAACACCTGATCGTACAGCAAGGTGCAGCATACAGTAGTCACACCGCACCTCGTGTTCTAAGCCCTGACTTGCGTTGTCTTGGCTAATGCTTAGCTATGGGTTGTCACTGCTACAGGGGTATTCCTTGCATGGGAGGTGTACGGAGTACATTATGTATGTGGTTGCGCTGGGATACCTAGCTATCGTAGGGGGTACGTATGTGTGTACGTTACTAGTAGTACATAGCATGGAGCTGTTTGGTTCTAATTTAAGGTGGAGTAGTGTGATATACTAGATACATACTAGTATGTAAATTGTTTCTTTGTATTGTAAAATGTTATTTGTGCGATATAGAGATTGTTTGCCTGTTTCAGAACAGTATGGGGAAAGATCGTGTAGGTGATGTCTCAGAGTGAAGGATTGTGTTATAAGCTCGATTATTAGGTACTTAGGGCAAGAGGGCTGAAGACAATTTAACCTGACCAATCTACGAGTCGGTCTGATGAGGCAGCTGAGTGCCATTGTGGGTGTGGCTTTGATTTTCTCACCGCTACATCCCGCCTGACCGGGATCCTCTTTGCATTCGATCGATTCCGGGCCAGGTCATTGTTACTAGTGTTGAAGAATACAGGTAGTTTATTTGGTATTAGATTGCTTTACCTAGTTGATAGGTAAATTGATTCGTGATATCATCGGCTTGGGTTATATCAGCTAGCATTCTGTGCTGCCCTATATAATAAAATATGGGGTGCTTGGTGATGGATATCCGAAGGCAAATCTCGGGGTCTGTGATCCGCACTGTGCACGTATCTGGGTATCGTTGTCCGGAGGCAAGTGTATGGAAATGTACCGCCCGAGTCATTGTACATGTAAAAACACAAGTGAAAAAGTCTATACATCAGCGAGAATGCAAGCAAGGGAAGAGTAAAACAAGCGCATGTACGGAAGCAAAAGCAAAAGCAAAAGAATGTACAGGCACATACAGGTGTCCAAATCGCAAACCCCTCTAGATTAAATGGCTATCAAGGAAGGAATCTAGACTGGCTAATGGAACAGGACAAATCAGGCATTTATCATCATCTCTCATCAAGGTCATGAAGACGGTGTAGAGGTGGTGGTAGATTGCCACAAGAGCAAGCCCCAGGACAAATGAAGTATAAGAGGAAGAGAAGATAAGCAAGGATAGACGAGCATCGTTTTTTTTACTGGGCCCAGTGTTGTTGGAAGAAGTTGTCGTCAATGGGCGGGGTGGAACCGGCATCAAAGAGACCGCCAGACCAGATAGGAACGGAGTCTGACGGCGGCGAGGGAGCACTGGTAATCGGGACCGATGTCATGGGCTTGTACAATGGTATCTGCGACATGGTGTAGATATCCTGGGCAGGGACTGGTTTTGGCTCCATGCTCATGCTGGCTTGCAGCTGGTGCTCGAGCGCAGCGGTGGACTCATTAGTCGACTTGAGGAAGTCATCGATGTTAATCGAGTCCAGGTCATTGGATGACAGGAGACGAGCCTGAGGCAGACCAACCAATGAGGATGCAGAGCTGACGCGGAGATGCTCCATGTCAGACGCTTCGCTTACGCTGTGCAGATCGTGCATGTCATTGCTAGCATGACCCAAGCCGGGAAGCGGTCCAAACTCGTCAGCCTCGGAGATGTCCCCGGATGACGAGGGTGGTGGGAGACCCGAGGGATACGCGTTGTAATCAAAGCTAGCATATGAAGGAGCTTGCGTGCTGTTTGCGGCAGGCACATCGGAGTATAGAGGGAAACTGGACCAGTCGACCGAGGGAGCACCAATGCCAGCAGACCCCAGGGGCATATCGGAGTCTGGAGAGGTAAAATAACATTCTTGGTAAGGTTCTTGGAATGCCATGCAGGTGATGGGAGAATTGGTGCTGGTGGTCGGAAAGGAGGCGAAAGAGGAGATGTCGAGGGGAGGAACACTGGTGACAATCTGCTCTAGGGGGTATTTGTCCATAGTTGTAGGGGTAGATGTCGAGTTTGACAGCACATCATGGGATCGGTCTAATGATGGAGCTGGAGGTGCTGGCGTAGCGAAATTGTCGATGTACAAGTGATCATGAGCGGGATTATAATCGTCATCGGTACCCGAACCAGGTGCGCTGTTGGGAGAACCATTTTGCGACGTCTGTTGTGATGTGGGAAATTCGGACAGGGTAAGAGGTTCCTTGATGAAGGCCGACTGGCCTAGCGGCAAATGATCCACCGACCGACGAGGTAAGTCGGTTGGGTGGTGGATGGTATGCGATCGTGGGATCGTATAAGGCAATCCACATTTGTGGGCCATGTCATTATGCTTGTGGGCGGGTTTGTGATGACCGTCGCGGAAAATCGTGAGCGTCGATTCCGATTTGGTAGACGTAAGAGGGGGTTTCCGTGGGGTCTCAATCGGAAGCGGGGGAGAGAAGGGAAGACCGGTTTCAGGCACGGTATCTAGATGTTCCTTTTTGAGTGCACAGGTGCAGCGCTGGCCATGGCAGCAGCCACAGCGACCATGGGCAATACCGGCATGGCAGTCTTCCTTTTTCTTCTTGTCGCCGCAATCACACTGGGTGTGAGTTGTCCGAGACTTGCGTAGGCCGCGGCAGTGGGCACATTGAGAGACTGGGCGGCCTTTTTTGTTGATGTGGGTCAATTGGCGGTCTAAGGGGGAATTAGTATAGATATTCATTGAGAAAGATCGTTTAAATTGGCGTACCGCTGTGGTGACAGCTGCTGACTCGGTGACCCCGGACGCAAGCTTCACAAGCATACTTTTCACCATCGATGAGCATCGCTGCGGTGTTACTGGGAGGTACACATGCGATGATTCGCGAGGGATATCAGGGAAAATCGAAGTATTGAAATAAAAAGAGATCGGGTTGAAAAGACCAAGATATCAAGCCGTCAAGGCGATTGGCAACGACCTCTTTTGAGGTCGGACCGAGTAAAACAAAATGAAAGGGTATAATCGTATAGTCGAAGGTCCCAATGCGCGGAGGAGTTCACGGGAACGCCGAACTAGCAGTGTAAAATGCCGTTGAGAGCCACCGCACAAGTCTTTGATTGGAACAGAAAACAGAAGGGAAATAGTAAATCCAAAGGGTATCTCAGGCGCGTAGAGGGGGGTGGTCAGGGATCGGAGAGTAAGAGAGAGAGAGAGGAGAGAGGGGGGACCAAGCCTACGCACCGTTTGGCGCCGGCCGTTAGACAGGACACCAAGTACCGGTAGTGGCGGCCAAGATAAAAAGCGTTCGAGAAAAGAAGACGTTGGACACCCTATGAAGAGAAGAAAAAGAGGAGAGGAAGGAGGGCGGGCAGCCGTTAATATAACGGGGTATGGAACGAGGATTTTCGCTGCGCCACTGGTCTTTATGGATGACCGTACGGTAGTGTATTTTACGCTTTTATCTGTGAACTGCTTTTTACAGGTTTAGGCTGTACTTTACATAGTAAAATGATTTGAAGTAAATATACTTCTCGACTAAAAAAAATACAGCAAACCCTCTCCACATGAACCATACCTAAGGTTTATAACATATATTTCAATTTAGTGCTTTTTATCTAGTTTTTATATTCCCCTTTTCTAAAAGTTTTGACTTTTGCCCAAACTGGCAGCCCCAACCGGATAGATAAAACATACCAGAGGAGTTCCCTAACAAAAATCTAGCGTAACTCCACTAGAAAGAAATAAAATGGATCTAAAAATCTGGGGCCGCACATCCCGACCTTCCATTAACACAATATTATTTTTGTCCTGGGGCTGAATTAGATGTTTCGGGGGTCCTAGCGCTTCCAGGTACTGGCAAAGAACTTTCCATAATCCCTGCATTCAAATAGTATTAAGAAATTGATAGGATCATTGGCGCTATTATAAAAGGTAAATGATGAGAAAAGAAACCCCCAAAAAATTTCAAGGGAAAAGGGAACAGCAAAGCCAGTGGAGGAAGTCCACGTATACATCGTCAGTTACAGTGGTACCGATACAAGTACAATACAAGCGCCAAAGTGGGTTGATGGCGTCAGTGTTCCTGCTTCGAGCGGGCTGCAGAGAGTTCTCGGGGCCCTGATCTACGTCTTTACCCTATCTTATGGATTTTTTAGGTAATTATTTGTATGCTTTACATTTATCTTTCCCTGTATATAATATTGAGATGTTTTGACTTACGTTGATTAAATTTGATTGAATTTGAAGTATTTATACAGTGTATATATGATGTAGGCTATTGCGACAAAGTTCGAGTCGCTTTGGGGTTGAAGTTATATTATGGTGATCTACATCTACATCTCCGAATAGTTTCTAGCAGGCTTTTCAAGCCAAGAATTCTTATGTAAAAAACAGTGCCCATTTGACTTCGGTCTTGAATGTCAACTAACACATAGGAATTATAATATACCCCTTAGGAACTCCAAACTGATCCAAGGGTAATATTAGCGACCAAGTATGAGACACTATAACATATGCATCAACGGGATACTCAATAAAGAAAAGGCCAGATACGTAATGAAAGGAGTAAACCAATCATAAATGATATACTCTCTAATACTCTTTTATTTTCATCTCCCATAATGAATAATGGCAACCCCAACTCAATTCGTGGCCACTATTGGCATCAGGCTGGAATAACAGAAGTGGCCCAGGAAACTAAATTATTCGTTACTTTCCTTAGGTTGTTGGGCAGTTAGATATATGAAATCAAAGACTGGTTTCTCGAAAATGATGAAGCATTACACATGATGGGGGGGACATCATCTGCGACCCTAGGTCGAGGGTGATCTCCGGAAGGATGAAGACAATATCAGCATATACAAAACATTCACTGGATAGTCCATTCCCAATCACCAACTTCAAGGCAAGGTTGATACCCATTGAGGCACCAGCGAGCGCCCTCGTATGTTGTGAAGTGGTGCCACTGGTACACGTGCAGGTACATACTCATTCCAACATTGACGGTGTAGACATTTGCATTAACAATCTTTGTAGAGCATTAATACGGAGTTGCATCAGTCCAAGTCAATATGCTCGAATATAGTAGGACAAGTATATCAAAGTATTCTATGAATGTTTGAAAGTGTAACCTTGCGCACATAGTTCATCCGAAGCCGAAGGGGAAATAGTATTAATCCGTTCGACACGCAGAAACGAAAGGCCGTCCTCCGTGCGATCATCCAAAAAAGACTCGGGGAAGTAAACAACTGTATATAGCTTCAAAATAATATCTAATTCCAATGAATACTCTGTACAAATGTTGTTGCTTAATGCGGCGCTCTCGGCGCTAGCCCCCTTGAAAATTCCTCCCCCGCGAACTTTTAGTTAAAACTTCACTTCTGGCACTTCGCGTCCTACACTCTCTTCCCTCCATCTCCCGGAGGCCCGCTTTGCCCACAACCCATCATTTTTCGTGAGGTTTTCGGTTTTATCTCGCGCGATGAACTCTCGCGAGCAGTCTGACATGCCTCCGGCGCCTTCTTACCCGTCGCCCAACGGTGCGCAGATGGCCCAGGGCGTACCCTCGTATTATGGCAACCGCCAAATGACCACCGATGAGCTGCTGTCCGCGGAACTTTCGCGTGATGCCTCTGGTCCAGGACTTGGCGAAACAAACAATGGTGTTCATCATGGCCAGTCTATGGTGTTGGGTTCCTCCAATGCTGCCGACATGGGTCGAACCTCTTCGGAGGATCAACACCAGCACCAGCACATGCTCCAGTTCCCTCCAAGTCAACAGGTCGGTGTCGACCCTAACCACGACTTGAGTTACGGCGAACAGAGTGCGCGCAAACGATCGAAGATCTCGAGGGCTTGCGACGAGTGTCGCCGAAAGAAAGTACGATAACAATTCCCCTCGAACGCGATTGTGTACCTCGAAGCTAAGACGCGTTTTATTACTATAGGTTCGATGCGATGCGAGCTCGGAAACTGGCCTTGAGACATGCTCCAACTGCAGACGTCTCGGTGTTGTGTGCCAATTCAGTCGTGTCCCGATGAAGCGCGGCCCCAGTAAAGGGTAGGAAGAACAAGTGCGCCACTACAAGAATCGCCAGCGCTAACAGACACAGTTACATCAAAGAACTCGCCGAGCGACTCCATACCCTCGAGAACCAGATGCAACCAGGAATCGTCCAACCTGACGTGCCATACCAGTCTATGAACGAGGTATCGCTACCGAGAGGCTACCAGGATTTCGCATCGCCGGTGGAATCGACCTCGGGGAATCGCAAGAGAACTTACTCGGTCTTCGAAGGTCTTCCCAGTTCCTCGTTTGCACAGCCTTCTTTCAACGCCCGCGTATCGCAAAATGCCTTCGACGCGTCTGAGACAGCGGCAGACCCCTACAACCCAGCTGTTGCCAACGGTGCCGCACCGAAACCTGGTAATCTGTTCTGGAACCCGACGGGCCATGAGAATGATCTCCCAAGCGGCCTTGAGATGACGGATTTGCCAAAGCATGAAGGTGATGACGACATGACACCAGTGACTCTGGACGAAGGTGCCCTTGATGCGTACGTGCAATGTATAACCCTCGTAACTATGAGAAAACCACCTAACACAGCATTGCAGTTATTATCAAAAGATCCACACCCTTCTGCCGATTCTTCCCCACACCAAGGAACGAACATTGGAGCTTTTGCACCAATGCAATCGCGAGGCACAGGAAATTTTCTGCCATGCATTGTACAGCGTTACTCGAACTGACTTGTCTCGCGTGGCGGGCAATTTCGAGAAGATCAATGGTTTTGATAATGCTCAGGATCTCCTCATGTTCCACACTCGCCAGCCATTGATTGTCCACACCACCCCTGTCAACCTTATCTGGCTTCAGTCTCTTTTGCTGATGATTATCGACTGTGACACTCGTGGACCGGATAATTTCGTTCTGAAAGATGGTGTCCCCAAAGGCAGCCTGGTCCAAGCAGCTAATAAGCTCGGATATGAGTTGGCCAAGAGCCAAGGCCAGCTGAAGAACAAGCGATCTGTAGATCCTGATGTCGACTCGGATGCCAATCTCACGCGGCGCAACTGGGTGTCTTTGGTCATCTTGGCCCGGTGGTATGCTATCAGTGTGGCAGATGCCACCGTTCTGGGCGGTCATGAGATTGGCGGCCGTGAAGATGAAAGGGTTGTTGGTCAAATCACAACCGGAATTGCCTGTATGTTGATCTTACTTCTTTTACAATTGTGCTGTTTCACTGACTCTTTTCGCACCAGCTTACTCGACATTCCTTTCGGAGATGGTCACTTTGGCTAATGTTGACCACAACGTCTGCCAAACTAACTCCGGCCTGGGTCGTATCATCGGCGCGAACCTCGTCTCTTCCCTAGAGCGTCTAGCAGAGATGGAGGACATATTCCAGATCCACGAGCTACCTGAGAACTCTAACACTCGCCCGCTTTACGAAAGCCTGCAAGCACAACTCTACTGGACCGTCCGTTTGCTCATCAAGCGCCACGTCTTCGTGTACAGCCCATACGAGATCATCTTTTGCGCGCAGGAGGTCATCAACGAGATGCACAAGTCAACCATGCAATCCCGCCTCCCATCACCATTTGATCTACACAGTCTAGCCCTCGCCTCAATGACTCTTCTCGAGGCGACCGTTCTCCCAGAACACGCAAACGAATGCTGGGCCACCCTTGAAAAAGTGGAAGAGATCCTCGACCGTCGCTCCAAGCGCGCAGCAGAAGGCTCCGAGTTTGAAAATATTTTCGGTACCCCGGAATGGGACGCCAAGATCCGCATCTTCCTCGAGTGGCGTCGTATCAAGTCCCAGGAGAGCCAGCTACAGGAAGCTGAAATCGGCGGTCTCGCCAAGTCCCAGCAGCCTGTGATGGGTCCGAACGAGCAGCGTTCTCTTCAACACCTTGCTGATCTTGCTGTTGGTGCCGAGGGCTCGGTTGGTCAGAATGCGCCGTCCACGCCTCCCGGTCTTTCTAATGACCAGGGTGAAAACGAGCAGAATCTTGCTCCTCAGTTGACTCAGTCGCAGGGCGGGTCGGGTCGTGTTGTTGTTGACTTTACTATGCTCACTAAGGAGGGCTATTTGAACGTCTTCTCTGGGTTGATCTACCGTCGCACACGTTAAGTTGCTTCGCGATCAATCTACGCTTTCTCTTAATCTTTCAGTTGGCGAGCTTTTGTCTGAACAAAGGAGGCCTGTCAGAGATTGGGGAGGTTTTTTTCGTTATGTAATATTTGCGTTGGTTGTCTATGGCTCAACCTTGAAAGTTTGTCTCTTGTATCTTATGCTGTAGTCGTGTCTCGGCTAGGAAGAGTTTATTGAATGGAATACATATATGGTTCATATATGATACATTAGTATCCCATCTCCCATCTATCCGGAGTCACATTCCTCCATATGGCATAATATGCTATGATATAATATGATACGATATGATATAGTAGAATAGTACACTGGAGAAAGCGAATAAATGTCCCTCACCCCTCACTGTTTTCGTCCGAATGCAAACCGCCGCCATGTCCCATTCACGTCCTCGCACAGGGCCATGAAACTGTCATCATCGATCAACTCGCACATCCAGTTCTCGAGAAAGACAATTCGCTCGGCTGTTGGTGAAGACAGATACCGCGCAAGATGGTCTTCTGTGACGGCTGGGTCTTTCTCATTTGGGTTGCTGGCCGGATTGTGGTTGCAGTTCGAGGTTGTTGGATTATTCTCTGTCCGCGATGTGTTCTGAAAATTGGGTACTTGAGATGTCTGTTTGGCGGATTCGCGGATCAGAGCTGTATTTTGAGAAGCAGGGGGCTCTTCATAGAGTAATAATGGCTGGCTTGCCTCGGGGCAAGCATTTGTCTGGGATAAGATTTGGGAATCGGAGTCCGGCACACCAGAATGGGTATTAGGCCCAAGTACGACGTGATGTGGACGGGGTTCTGACTTCTTGATTGGCTCGGTGGGTTGAGAACTTGGCGATGGAGCTAAACGATGATGCTCCTGTGTTGTTCGAGTCACGCTTGCAGCGCGCGGTTTCTTTGCGGTTGGCTTTGAGAAGGGTAGGTCTCTCTTTGGAGGAAGCATCTGGTTTAACTGGTCGACTTCATGAATTGCAGATATGGCAGAGAGTTGCGAGCTTGGTGGATCGGGTTCTTTGTTCGAGGCGTGTGCGAGAGCAGACGTAGGCGGTAGTTGGAAGAAGTCTAGCTGTTCCATGCTTTGGGATGGGGGGTTGAAAGCTGTTCCAGGGCCCGGTCTGGACATAGGGTGTGAAATAGTGCTGGCGGGAGATGATACTCGAATGGGTGCTACCGAAGAGAAGTGTAAGACAGCTGCTCGAGCGGTGATTAGAGGTATCGTCACATACTTGTCCCTCCAGATCCTAACGATCCCGTTGGGTAAAAGTGTATTCCATTGCTGCCAATTGAAGTTGCCGCTGTGTTTGTAGTCCTGGGAGCATTGGAGGAAAGATGCCCTGATGTCCATGATGACACTGAAGGAAATCGTTGCATTGCTGGAACTGGTATCTTGCCTTCTGTCAATGGACAGTTGATTTCGCCTAGAAGAGCCAAGGCTGTGAAGTAGTCACTCTCTGTAGTGAACTTGATCTGAAACCGACGAATCTGCAGAGTCAGAAGATAGTGCTGTTAGGAATCACTACCCGAATTCATAGCTAGCAGAATATACACACATGTGTTCCACCATAAGGATACTTGACTGCAAGACAAGGCGACTTCACAACGACAGCAAAGTGTGACCTTGGGGGTGGAATCAGCTGGGCCTGCATCGCTGCCATGCGAGTGAAGAATACGAGATCAAGCTGCTCCTAAATCAGATGATCCAGATGTTCAGCATTGCTGGCTGTCAAGCTTTATGTGTGAGTGTGAGTGTACCAGGATGCCATCACCTCGAACCACTTTCTGAATCATCTTTGATGGCACAGGCCCAGAATCGAGGAACTTCTCGAATATGCAAGCCAGGTCTCCATTTCCAGGGATATGGTTCCAGGTTAGTGGACCGACATGATCGATGGCAGTGGTTGTATGGGAGAACTTGGCGATGGGTAGACGAAGGAATTGGGGAGGGATGGGTGGCTGCAGATGTTGCATCTTTCAGGGTGAGAGCAATCCACAAAGAGTTAAAGGTTAGAAGACATCCATTGATATAATATAGATGTGAATGAGCGTGGTAGTGGAATGATGTTCGAGGTGAGGGCAAGCTTGAGAGAACCCTCCAGGGCTGGTTCCAGGACTCCCATTGTTGATTAGCATTTCCCACCCCATTGTGATCTTTAACTAGAGTGTTATTGAAGCAATATTGATTTAGTAATGTTAATGTATGCCTTGTAAATTTCAAAATATTAAACTCTTAGAAGGAAGCTATGTTGAGACTCGAATATATATGATTGAGTTGACCTAGAGAGACTCTAACTGACCAGGCAGTCAACTAGAAATTTCCCCACCGTTAGTTGAATCATTTCAAAACGGAAAACGAGACAGTCAGTCTGTCTCTATTGCTGCTGTTGTCGCTATTCAAGAATGCTTCTGCCTGAGGCATCAACACATAACACAACGGTATACATTAGTCATCAACCGGAACAACCAATAATCCGACAACGCGCCCTGGAGAAGCGCGGACTTTTGGCTGATCAGTGCCGTTGATCGCAAGCCCAGCTCTAGCCCTCCAGGGCCGCAAGGCATTGACAATTATTTTACTTTTGAAACTTATCGTTGATTTTGATCGCCTACGCGCAAATTTACTACTGCCTTAGAACTGCCGTTGCTGCTGAGCACTTTGCTCTCCTCATCGTCGCATCCAGTGCTCCGACATTCAAACGCGCGAATACTGCGACTCAGCCCGAGTCACAGCCACTGGCCGTCGCTATCACCTCTTTCGGCCAGAATCAACGTTGCATCGAATTTATACTCCGACCCTCCAGAAGCTGAACGAAGTCGCCAGTTTGACATTCCTGCAATTTCTCCTCGACTCGTTTGCAAACAAAGACGTATCAAGGGCACCATCTCTCGAGCCACATCTTCAAAGTCTTCGATCCTGAGACCAGAAGACCTTATCTCCGATTGCCCCTCGAATTCTCGAGGTCAATTTTGTTGGTCTTATCCGTTGCAAGGACGGAACCACCTTGTGCATCTGAAAACGTGAACGGCGCAAAGCTGTCGCGCATTCAACAGTACAATGTCTGGCTCTACCCCTCGCACCTCGCTGCGACGTAAGACTACCATCTCTCAGCCGACAGGTGTGGTATCTGTACTAACACCACCCACAGAGGGCTTACGCCATGCTCCAAAAATCAACCAACCCTTCATCCCCGATACAACCCCTGCCCGTCGATCACACATCCATCATGGGCTCACATCACCACAGCCATCAACCAGCCCCCATCATGTAAACATCAATCCCGCCGCCAATCCACAGAGTGCGCAGTTCGCGGTCGATAGCTGGGAAGGAAAAGACAGCCGACAGATTCCCATGTCGACGAGGGAAGTCCCGACCCCAGGGAACCGACCGGTCATCTTTTCCCATCTGCGTGACCCTTTGAAAATGCCACGGCAATTGGATTATTATGACCCTTATTTCCCACTGAGATATCTCGAGGTTCCAAGGAGTCAGTTTCCCTGCATCCTATGAATTGACTAGAAATGCTGACGGTCTTGTCTCTTTAGCGGATCACATCTACAAACGTGCCCACTACGGTCTGCAGTCAGGTATTCCAGATGAAGTCGACTTTGCGCTGTACCACCTCGTCCAAATTTCAAATCAACGATGGGATAAATTCAAATTTGAAGGGTTTCCCTTGCTTGCGGAAACTTTGATGCAGAAAGCACTTGACATCACACAACTTTGCACGGGGGTGAAGTGGGAATTCCAGTATGATCCTCGGAAGCCCATCGACCGTGTCAACGTGCTCAATTCGCTACATGGCACACGGGATATTCTGGACAAAATTAGCAAAATCCCAGTGAACCTCCCAGATGACAGCCTTGAGACATACGAATTCAATCATCGGCTGAGAAATATCAAAGAGGCCACGTTAGTGTTGAGAAACATGGTGCTTCTGAAGGAGAACGCATTCTATGTGTCGCGTTACGCGAATGGTCTATTGCGTGACTTTTTGGTTATCTTGATCAATGCTCCCAATCAACCTCGACTCAATGAAATCAAAAACGATGCGCTAGATATCGCCGAGGAGGTCACCAAGTTCTTGAAAACTGACCCTGAAGATCCGCTGTGGATTTCTTTGGTGAATTGCCTTGACTCCCCAGATCGCGCCCACGTCGTGCGCGCCCTCTGGGCATTGACACACTTCGGCACTGAGCTGGACGATGCGGATGCAAACCGGGCTATGGAAACCCTGACCAAGCCGACTCTCCAGCAGATGTACTATCACACGCTTCTTGACCTTGACAAGGATATTCTGAGTGGTGCACTGGACTTTTGGTATCAATATACCCTCAGTCATGACAATATCGAGACATTGATGGATGTCCTCAATTTCCCAATTGTTTTTGTTCCTCGCATGGTCGCACTTCTGACTTACGAAGCACGGCCCACCAAAAAGGAAACTGTTCTTCAGGAAGAAAAGGTCGCACCTCCACCCACTGAAATTCCTCGTGTGTCCCCCGAGCTTTTGGAAAAGCTCATGGAGCTATCTGAGCCGGAGCGAAGCTCTCAGTGGCTGCGTTGCTGCTTCATTGAAGATTCAGAATGTGAGATCACACAGATCGCTTTATGGCAAGCCTACCAAAGCCGATTCGCAGATCCTCGTGTCACTGGAGGGGGTGTTCTTCCCGCTGCAGAGTTCATCAAGAACGTCAGCAACACATTCACAAACGCCCAAGCACAGGTTATCAACGGCCCCGGTACTGCCACCAAATTCATCATCAAGGGCATCCGACCTTTAGAAACTGCCCACACTTTCGAGGGCTTCCCTTATTCTTACTGCAGATGGGCGGATAACTCAAAGCCTTCCAAGATGTGTCAGCGTGCGTTCACATCTCCGACAGATCTCCGGAATCATGTTTTCGGTGACCACATGAACCTGGAACCCACAGACACTCCCGGACAGTATAAGCTTGATCCCGCAGATACTCCCACCCATACCTGCCAATGGGATCACTGCTCGCGGTTCCGAGCATCTGGGCCCAGCGCCAACACATCTATGGTCGCCGGCCACGTTTCGTCGCATTTGCCCGAAGATCGCCCCGCAGACGCACAGCCTACAACCGCCAAGCGTGTGGTTCTCCAAGAGCGGATCGTCCGTAAATGGTACTATATGGATACTCCGATCAATGAAAAGGGCGAGCCATTCGGCGTGGCCTACAAGGCTGCATTGGTGCTGCGCAACATCGCCCGTGGCTTGCCAAACCGGACCACGTCGAAATACGGTGGTCTTCCCTGGAAGAAGGCTTGCTTCACGAGCCAGCGCCCCAAGATCGTCGAAGTCTGGGACCGAAATCGTGCGCTGCGCAAGGAGCTTACCGAGTTGATCATGGTGATTGAGAAAGAGGTAGACTATTAAATTTCCTATTACATGTTTTCCGATGTCGCAACTACCTCTTTTTTCTTTTCTCATGAATCAATATCTCTGTACGATTAATACCCTGATTATTCATGTTCTCACTGTCTTTCTGGTTCCCAGGTCCTCCATCTTGTCTAAATGTACAATATCTAAGAGCCAGGGCCATATTCGCGGTGTTTTCTTGTTTCTGCTTTGTTTTTTATGGCTTGTCGCTTTGATCTAAGCCTGAGTTCGCACGCAAAACGGCCCCCGAAGAGTGGAGTTGCATTACTACCTAGGTATGGGTATGGGGTGGCTGATGTTTACTTTCCCGGCGTTTCTTAGGATAGAAATTCGAGATTCATTAGTTAGTATTCGGAGCCTCGTTTAATTCACGCTTTCTTTCGTTTTCCTTTTTCTTAAATGTGTTGAACCAAACCCAAGAGAAATTATAACGATTGACATGATAATTCATATAGAACTCTAAGCGTTGGTTCGACAATGGGGAAACAGTATCCCCGGATCCTTTCCAATGAAACAGAAGCCCACGACACAAGACCTATCCTCGAGTTCTTATAGCTCAACAGCTGCATCATCTTGTAGCTTCACTCAAGAGGATCTCTGGCTTTTGGATATTCCTCCAACTAGGAATCATGAAACCCGTAATAAGATAGATCGAAACAACAGAATATTCCATCAACAGCCCCATGGTCAAGAATGGGGTAACTGGACCACTCAGATCATTCCACCTCAGGTCGGTTGGCTCGAATACAGACAAAAAGAGGTATACGATACGAACGGCTATGAATGGTGTAGCCAGAGCCGTGGCGTTGAGGATCTTAGAAGATATTAGCCTTGGAAAAGTAGATATATCGGGGTCTGCGAACCGTTCTGCTTGTAACCGAGAGACTTGAGCGGTTTGTCCAGAAGTATACTTGCATGGCCAGTAAACACCCGACAAAGACTACCACGATGATGTATCCGGATTTGACAAGTTTGATACCGATGAGTACATCACTGTTGGTGTCGCTCCCTTCCAGAGCCCCACCTGCAACGGTAAGTCCAATCCCGACGATGAAAAGGATTCGGGATACGACTAAACATTGCCGAATTTGTCGGCTCATCTCTCTTTCAAGGGCCACTCTGTAGTGTGTTAGATTGATGATTCAGGACAAATATGGGCATGGTATTCCATGACGACAGCTTACATGATTCGAATAAAGCCCAAAGTTGCTGCGATTAAGGGAAACATGCCAGCATTGAGGAAGATGACTGAAGCTATCATCACGCCAGTACTGGAAGAATTTTGTGCGATAATCACCAAGATACCCGCAGTGATCCGAACTGAAAGCAAATCGTGTTAGAGATACTATATACGAATCCATGAGAGTTTTGTAGTATGGTGCTTACCGAGGGAGAAGAAAGTTAGGATGATCCATGCCATGCGAGGTCGCTTGTGTCGATAGCATGCGAGGTAAAGTGCAATGGCCGTTACCGGTATATAGAACACGATCTGCGCGATACTTAATTTTGAATGACTGCCCAACATGTTGATTTCAAAAGTTGCTGAATTTGGGGATAATTTGTTCCTTTGAGCTGAAGGTTGTCAATAAGTAATGGATAAAGATTACAAAGGGTTCAGAGAGAAAGAATTGAACCTTTTATAGACATATTTCCTCGATTCTCCTTAAAAACAAGTCGGCTGTGCTGAAATCCTCTGCATAGATGCTCTCGCAAGATCAGCACCTTTTTGGGTTTAGCGTCGGGAGCTATTGGAGTTTAGATATTTGATTGGTCCGATGTGACTCCACTGGCTCCACCTTGCCAGAGCCCCCCAAAGCCTCCAAAGCCCAACCTAATCTGACTCTGACTCAATCCAAGGCACAATTAAGCATTACTTGCCAAGTCCTCGTTACCTTTGATTGAATCAAATCTACAATGTTGTAATGCAACATCATATAAGGCTGGGCTTATGAGATGGTTGGAGTAGCGGGTAAATCAAGAGGCTGCAACACCTGTCGAAAAAGAAAGATTGCAGTGAGTGACGCTGGATCCATATACAAAGACCCCACTGACTTAGTATTTAGTGTGACCAGCAAAGACCGGCTTGTGCCAAATGCACACGCTCAAACCGAGTATGTGGCGGATACCAGAAAGACACAGTATTCGTACTAGTTCAACCAGCCGCCGAGAAAACACATATCTTTCTCAGACCCTCTCCACGGAGCGTTACTGAAAGTACAGAGCTGGAATCCACCGTCTCCAGTCCAGCCACCATGGCCCAAGGCAATGAATTTACCCATTCCTTTACGGAAACAAGCTCTGCCTATGGGATAATGCATAGACGTATCGAATGTCAAAACTTGATCGAAGCTTTCCTATTGAACTGCTTTCCATTCCATTGGCCCCCAGCGTCCCACTCTTGGATTCGCTTACTTGGGGAGTTACCTACCAAAAGTCAAGCACTGGAGATGTCAAGCGCAGCAGTCGCAGCTTCGGCGATTGGACACATGTTTCACGATCAGGCCCTCGTCAAGCAAGGTCTGAATTACTATACACAGGGTCTTCGAGAGTTACAAAAGGCATTATGGGATCCTATTCTTATGCGAGAAGATGGGACCCTGGCTGCGTGCATGGCACTAAGTCTTTATGAGGCCCTTGAATGTCCCAATCTGGGATCCGAAGGCTATTTTAATCACTGCCGTGGTCTCATTGCTTTAATTCAATCCCGCGGCCATGAGGTGCATTCTTCAGGCGCCGGACATCGATTATTTCTTGGTGTCCGAGTCCCAGGGGTAGGTCTTGTAAAAGTGTTCGAGTCTTGTTTGTTTACTAATGACCTTGGTAGATCTTGTTTTCTTTGAAACATCATACCTCGACTATGTTCTTCGAATCCACTTGGATGGAACAGCCTTGGGCAAGAATACCAAAGTCGTCTCACGATCGGGTAATAGACTGTCTCGCCCAAGCCCCTATGATTCTCGAACGTGTGCGATCATTGCCTCACCTGAGTATATTTCAACAGGTCGATTTACTCCACTGTTTAATTGGTGAATGCTGGCAAATTGACAAACAACTGGATGTAACCTATGATGAAATGCGGCGATCAGAAGCAGACGTGCTATACTGGCCGGTTCCATCGCAAACAGAACCTTTGGTTGATTCTAGGGATTCTGAGAATCTGTTCGCAGTCGTTTTCTGTTTTCAAAACGCCCAGGTTGCTGCTACACTGATGCTCCTGTGGGCAACGCGGACGATGCTTTGGTCGGGTCTTTTTAATATGTATCAGCACTTGGAAAGCGTTATATCTCTCCAGAAGCCAAGTTGTGTGGCTCTTGAGCCTTTGGATCAAAGTTCTCTTTCGGAAGTGATGGGTACATTTAATCCTATTGACCGCTGTGGAGAATATCTATCTGTGGCACATCGAGTCTGTCAATCCGTGGAATATTTTTTGAAAGATGAAATGCTGCTAGCGGGGCCATTATCTGTTAGTCCTGCGCTTGGGATTGTGATTGATAGTTTACGGAATCGGCCTGGTCATGATCGAGAAATTGCGTGGATACAAGCAGCCCTGGAGGTAGTTCGGCGAAAAGGACTTCGTGTTCTGCAAGATGTGAATAGTATATAATCAAACCGGTAGAGGGCCAAATAATGAGACTCAAACATGCAAGTATCTGTTCGTAAGAATATACCTACGTCGTAGCCCTGGGCTCGCAATCTTCAATATGGTATGCATTTTATTCATTCGAAAAACAATTGAAAAGTAATGGTTTTAGGAGAGGTCTACTGAGAACGAGACCTGAAAACGAGACGTCGAAGTACATGCTGCAATTAAAAATGATATCAGAGCTGAGAGACCAAGAAGCTAAGACTAGACTATACAATTCAACCGCAATAATATCCAAAGAAAACTTCACACTTAGTAGTCACCCGTAGGCATTCCACCCACAGCCGGAACATGTTGTCCATGGAATCCCAACCCAACAGCCCCATCGACATTTGCTCGACCAATTTCCATCAAGCTACGAGCATCAAGGCAGAGCAAATAGCTCTTGCCACGCATCCCATCGAGAACCACACTGAGAAGTACACCATCATCCTCACTAGTGCCCTCGGGGTTGGCGACGAAAATGGGCTCACCGGGAGATTGGCCATGGCATGCCCAGAGCTGAACATGCTGGGTATCACAATCGAGCTTCATGATACCATCTGTCAGAGTTGCCTCTCCACGGAAGGTCGCAGCGTAGACATATCGGTGTTTCTGGGTGACCTTTGTCGGATTCATAGTCGGTAGTTCAGGCGACAACGATTTGCAAACGGACCACTCCACTATTGCTTTCTTGGGCTCGGTGCATGGAGTGGAAGGCACCGTAGGCAGGCGGAACCGGGTAAAAGATGTACGGAAAGAATCGTCTCTCTTCTTTTGGAAGGTCTTGGCTGTATCCGACGAAGAGATCAAGTTCTCGTAATAAAGAGAATGCAAAAATTCAGAGTTGTCGGTTCTCACAACATCTGCCACAATGTCCATTTCCGCGGGATTCTCCTTTGAGGGTTCGAGCCATGCGTTGACCGTGTGGAAGCAAAAGAATGCAGGGCTTTCGTATGTCGCGATCAATCCCTTGCCGTGCTTGCGGTCAATGACATACCACACTGCCGGCTGACTTGGGTCTGTTGGTAAGATTGACTCGAGGAATGAGGAGTCCAACGGTTGGGGATTTATGTGCGCGTTCCACACACACAGAATAACATGGTCCTCGGTGATGAGAAGGGAGTGAAGATAAGCTGGTGTTGCGGGGAAGGTTGCTAGGATTGTAGTTTCCCCTGTTGAAGCTGAGACCCCGAAGACACGATATGTACAGCTTGGTCCTAGGGTGAGATTGTAGTTGAACATATCTCCCGTGATAGGATCAGATCGGGCATGAGATGCAGAGCGGGTTCCCGAAAGCTCAGGATGTAGGGTAGTCTGCGAGGCCATGCCGATGGGTTCCAGGGTTTCTGGATCGAGCTTCTTGAAGGCATTGTAGTCGGTCTTCGCATAGAGAGTTCTGATTCCCTGAGAATCACCCCAGCGAGCAGTTGACTCATCGGGCTTGGAATCGAGGCCCGGAACGTTGATTGAAAGGGTCACAGATATGTTTATACTCGACGGAGTGGGCTGCGTGGGTTGCGGGACATATTCAGTCTGGACTTTTCCTAAGACGCTCTTGCAAGGATCGCGTTTCTGTCCGAAACCGTTCTCGTCTAGAGATCCCGTCTTTCTTGCTTTTTCGATCAGATCGTCGGTTGAAAAACGGGAGTTGTACAAAACGCGAGGCGATGTATGAGAGTCATCTGGAGCAATGATCTGGAAACGATGGGTTTGACCGAATCCATCAAACCAGTGGGAGAGACGTAGTGTGTTTCCATTCTCAGCTTTGAGTTGACTTTTCCCTGGACCTGTACGGTACAAGGTTCCAGCAGCGTAGGTAGGAATATCTCCTGTCACAGGAAGCTCGACGGGCTTGCGCTGTTCGTATTCGGGATCGAACTAGCAGGGATTAGCATGTATACTTCGAGGTGTCCATAATATCACTTACACCTTTGTCATTAGGCCAATTGTTGTAATGATCTTCATTTGTATGAATCTCCATGGCTGTTGAATCTGGAACAATAGAAGGCTTTTTTTTGCAAAGTGATAATTGACTAGATCTGTGTTGAGACCGTTTGCCTGTTCAGGTTTGGGTGGAAAATGTTGCCTGATGTTTCAGGTTACTGAGAGCTTGTCTTTTTTTTTTCTTTCTGACAATTCAACCTTTATATATATATTTCTTCAAACATTTGTTTAAATAAAATATAACTTCCCCTATTCTATCAGGCCTAATTTTGGGGTTCGTCATTTCTAGCGGGGGAATCGCGACGGGCTGAATTACACAACCGACTTCTCCTTTTCCCTCGCCAATCCCCAACGTCGAATTGCCGAATCTCGCTCATCATCGTCACTTCGAGCCGCGCCAAGTCCGTAACTGACTTTGAATCTCGGATTAAACATTCAATTTTAAATCCGGGGGATCTTGGCGGGATACACCCACCTGTTTGCATTCTTCCGACAAATCATCCAGTGAAATCTACAACGGATGCTTTCCGGAGCCTTCTATTAAACCGACGCCAATCCCCCCAATGAAGCAACAAGTACGAAATGCCGAGACCGGAACAGGCCTAAAGATGTGGAAATGTAAAGAATGTCCCTCAAATTTCCAGCGATTAGATCACATGAAACGCCATGCCCTTACTCGTATGTTTTTAATGATACTTAGGATCGATACAGTAATGACTTCCTACAGATCACACGGTAAAGAGTCACCTCTGTTCATTTTGCGACTCTGCATTCAGCCGAGGGTGTGTCATCTTCCACTCCCGACGAAAAGATATGTCACCCCGTCATGTGTGCTGACAAAATCCACCCAGAGATGTACTACGGAGACATTGGAAATCGTGCAAGGCACGCGTAGACAGCGGCCATGCAATCCCCGAGCCGGAGCGCGGTGGGAAACACAAACGTGCCTGTGATAGTTGCGCAGGCCTCAGGAAAGCCTGTAATGGAAAAATGCCGTGTGCTGAATGCGCCCAAAGAGAAAGACAGTGCACTTACCAACGCCTTCTCGGCAACGAGATACCCTTACCATCCATATCCGACGGGCTTCCCTTGCCATACACATCACAGGTTTTACTAGAGACCCCCGCTGAAAGTTCGGGTGGGAATGATGATGCCCGGAAGGTTTCCGAGTCGAGTTGGGACCTTGGCCCTGCAACGCTTTATCCATCTCATAGGGAAGTTGTTGCTCGAGTTGCTGCTCGACGCCGTGGATTTGCTTTCGGTTGATGAGAAAGGCCAACAATCAACCAAGTCCAGTCTCGTGTTGGATCAGGTATATAATTACTCCATGCTCTCTCCCCTTTCCTCGCCTATCCGAGGTGAGAGCGACATGAGCGAGACGTTCAATATGAGAATACGAGCCGAGTCTGTACTATCATTGATAGGTGCGAGCTAGCGCCATGGACGTTGCAGGATCGCCCTCATCACTTGGTCACTTGTGGTGGGGATTTCTATTTTATTATCATATTAAACTCATATAAAGTGTGTATTTGGTGATCACAGCACGAGTGGATATTTTTCTATGTACATCACTGCTGGATATAGTACCTGGACATCTCTGTGCAATCCAGGGTTTTCTTCACTGACTCACTGAGATGTGGTTTTCACCGCGGCAAGAAAATGGAATCAACGCTATCGTAAACATTCTCGATAAAGTTCTCATAGCTCAGCCAAGCCGTGTCATCGGGGCTACTTCGCAAGGTCGGGTCACTAAGATCCATCGCATCCCACACATTGGGCCAGGGCACCGGCGCAAAAGAAGTCGGCACTTCCGCGATTTGCGTCGCTCGCGGTTCATCGATGGCCTCTCGGAAACCAAGCGAAAATTCCTCGAGACCCTGTGAACGTTGAGATTGTCTCAATAACTCGGAACACATACCCTCGAAATACACGGGGTAACGAGAAGGATCGTCGCCGAGAAGCTCGATTCTCCGCATTTTCGCCTGTGACATGAGCCTCTCCAAAGGCCTCCAGAGCATCCCGTGCTGAGAATCTGCAATTATGAGCCGCGAGCGCTGGTAAACTTCTTCAACGACGGTCCAGTACTTTAACAACACCGCGGGACTTTTGCAGACGCAAAGTTCGGCAAGGGCCACAGCCAATGCATGCCATGGAACCCACATAGAGCCGTACCATCGCCAAGGCCCGGCGCCTGGGTAGTTGTATGCCTCCTGCGACCAAAGCAGATTATCGGCTGCGATTTTGAGGAGGACGTTCTCTTGAATCTTTGGAGGTATGAAGTCCCGGCTTCGTTTTAGCGGCCGGAGGCAGGCTAACTGCAGCCAGCTACCCATAACCCCCGCTGTCTTTTGCGCGTACCACTGGAAGTCCGATAGATCGGGCCTACAACCTCTCAGAAGGTCTGATGCTTTTTGTTGGAAGTCGTGGACTACTTGCTGTCGCAAGCTCATGATGGTCACGGCTGGCTCGCTGAGGTCCGAAAAGGCAAGGGTTCGGGTCACGGATGATGACGCTGCGATAACCAAGGTGTGCGTCATGTCGGTGAATTTGCCTTCTATGTGTTCGGGGATTGGCCCTGGCATGTCAAACCATAGGTCATCGTCGTTGATATTCGACGGCAGGTTGTAATCGAGCCAGGCGGATTGCATCATCGGCTCGGATGCCCTGTCTAAAGAGGCTGCCACATCGAGAAGGCCAATCCCTAGCCATGCGCGTTTGCGCATCTCGTTCTCAAAGGGGCGGACGGTGAATGGGGGCTGGCGCACGTGGAGAGATAGTGCCTGGCCTACTCTGAGTGCCATGCTCAACATAGTCCAGACCCTTCGGCTTTGGTCTTGACATCGTGCGGCGAGCTAGAAATGTTCAGATTAAGTTCCGATCTTAGGATGTAGGGGGGCGAAAGACAGGAAACATGTAGCCGTACTCACCAGAGAGATAATATAAGCTTGCAGGACAGTGAGATCATTCGTCGTGACAAAGTCTGCCCTTGCGAGCGCAAGCTCAGTTTCTTTCTGAAATTCTGCGACTATTGTCTTTTTGCTCGCGTTGAACATTGACTGGCATTCCACTTCGTCCAGAGTGCACACGGCGCAAAGATACATCGCCGAAGCAAGGGTGGCTGGGGCCTGGTGATCCTGATCATAGTCAAGATAAGGTTTGCCATCCTTAAGGAATGCTTGTAGCGACGGTCGATGTAAAATTTTGAATAGAGGATCGACGTTGTGGAAGAAAATGTCACATAACCTGTGTCGGATTTGAGGTTGAAGATTTAACGATTTGTTGGCTTGAGGTGAGCTCGATGAGCTTTCGGGGCTTTCTGAGCTCACAAGCGATGTGCCAAAACCATATGCCGAATCTGTAACATTGTGATCTTCATTTTCTAGACGACCTTCCAGGACACTGCGTAATTCTTGGGTCTAGTGATTGGGATATCAGTCAAAATACATCCGCAGACCATGTCTTTAACAAGCTCACCTGCTGCATAATATCCTCCCAAAAGTAGCCCCCCACATACGCAGTTGCAGGGCCAGGAAGATGTGGCTGACCTGCACTGGGCAAATAGTCATCATGATCTTGCCGGATATCAGGACCGGCGGTGCTAGCTTCTGCCGCCGATTCTTGCTTGTATGAATACGCGGGCGTAGGAATAGTCGAAGAAAGGTGTTCATTTTCTCTCTCATTGGCCACTGTTTTCAGAAGTTTTTCGAGTCTCGCTACCCGCTCAGACAATTCTTTATCCGAGCCTACAATCCGCTCGGGTTTTCGCGTGCGACCGCGCGGCAGACGCGCACGTTCCACAGGAATACACACGAGGCCAAGTCGCTGACAGCTTGTGCAAGGACTTGACTTGTCGCATTTTACCTTGCGCTGGCGACATGCTTCGCAGGTGAGGCGGACCCGTGGTGCGGAGGACCGTGAGTGGATTGTCCCGGCTTGGCCCACGGGATCGGCCATTATTTTGCGTGGATCCAATTACTCTGGATAGGCAAATGGACTTAAGGTGGAATGGATAGTTCAATGTAAATATACCTGCGTCGAAGATCCAAGGGCTTTGCATGGGAGGTTCTGCCTTGACTGCTGCTTTGACCCCCGCGAAAGCTATCGATCCACATCAAATGCTCCTGGCCAATCAGAGGTCGACTAACTTCGTTCTATCATGATCTTGGCCAAATTCATATAAAAAGAACATTTGAATGAATATTAAAGCTAAGAACTAGACAATAGTACTAGTTTTAACTATTAAAAGTCTTTAACAATATAGTTTCACACTTTTTCCTTTCTATATATTAATTACCTGTTAAGGAAAGAGCCTCCTTTTAACCTATGTTATATCTCCCCTTTCGCAACATTCCTCTACTTTCTATGCAAATTTTCACGCCTTCTATCTACTATGATCAGTCTCATCAAGTCCCAGAGCTTAAAAAAGGGCTGCCAAAATGCTAGGACAGTCACTGCTCTAGAGCCATCGGAGATTCCGAGACAGCTTTTTTTCACACAGATGAGCCCACAGATGATACACTTCGCATGGCACAAGACGAAATAGTCCCGCTGCCTATTTATCACAGTATGGCCATTTTATCTACACTACTTTTGGCATATATGCTGGCTTATTCAGATTGGTTTGAATCGAAGAAACCTGAGTTTCTACAGGCGGACGTCCTCTAATGTCTAGCATACATGGGTATCTTGAGCTACACTGTACAATCATGGATATTGGAATATATGTGCTGACGTGAATCGGGGTAATTCACCATGCAGCTTTCCAAGTTGGAACGAAACCCGCAAAGATGGACGATACATCAATCCGACCAAACATCCAGATATAAGAACTCACGAAACACACTAGAATGTCACTAATAGATTATCCAGTTCCAAACTCAGAATTACAGATGTCAGACGGGAAGGTCAGAATTGTTTCCCTTCTTTACAAAACTTTCCACATTGCACAGGTGTATGGAATGCTCGACCGAGCCAAAGAGGCGAATACATAGCACACTCAAGGACCCATACCTTAAATATTGTGACAGTAAGGGGTTCAATAAGCGCATCAAGAGATGCTGCGGCTCAAGGCCGAGTCGAGACAATACCCCAAGTGGTACATCGGGTAGCTCAAAGAGAGACATTCATGGCATTAAAGTCATTTTATTCAAGTTAGATCTTCGATGCCTTCTTTGAGTGTTCTTTTCAGATATTTCCCCTTATTCTTAGCCATTTAGCTACTCCGTTGAAAGACTTCTAGTTGCTATGTAGAAAGACATCAAAAATATGTCTAAACGGACATCTAAAACGCTTGAAAAATAATAATTAGCTATAAAAATGCCGCCAGGGACGAGAAGAATACCTCGGAGTACACAGAGAGTAGACATGCGGGGCTTGTCACTCTACAGGCGACTTGTCCAAGGGATGAATTGGCATGAGTAGATCACAATATAGATCGTCGGAAACTAGCATCATCTAACAGTCAATGCTCTTCTGTTATCATCGATTCAAATTCTCCGGCACCGTGCACGCGGCATTTTTTCGGAGAGGGGCTGGGCACATACATTGATTTAGATCAGCGTTGAATCTTCGGATTTTTCGATTTCACTGACAGATAAAGCCTTTGTAGGAATTAATAAGTTGTGATCAAAGCAGTAAATATCCAAATGTTTTGATAATCAAGAGATATCCCCGAACTCCCCGAAATTGGAGTTTCGGGCTCTAGGATGGCGCAGGTACAAAAATGGGCTGCAGAGGTGTTTGCAGATCGCAGGAACAATACGGTTGCCCCCACTCGGACTATTGCCCCTTGTTTCTTTGGATCTTAATGGGGTTATTTTGGCACTATTGATTTTACACCCACGACAATGGCATTTAACCATAAATTAAACGATCATGAACTGCAAGCGAGAGAAATGTGGATATGTAGATGGATAAATTATGTGAAATATTCTGTTGGTGGGCTGCTTCAGCTACGAAGCAAAACCACTACAACATATGTAGCTGAACCCACCTGCGTCCTGTGTGAAATATCCAAGTGGATTTTTCTGTCAGACTAGTGCGCTTGGCTTACCTTCACTAGGCACTCATGCCACTATGATGTAGCCCGGTTTACGGGGATGATGATCTATCTCGTGTTGATTTGACCACATTGAACCAATTGATCTCAAGCTGATTATAAAAAAAAGCAATTATTCCCACGTTTTGGGATGCACGCGTCTAGTGCGATTGTAAACTTCAGAAGGAGAGAGCTTCCTATTATGGATGTATAGGCCGTCCACGGGTGGTCACTGACCACACGCATACCATGGATCAAGTCTCGGCACCAACGAATAAGAGTGTGTTTTTCCGAAAACAGAGTTCATGCCATGTGGGGACTATGCCTAATATGGACATGTAGATATATATTTTTGTTCCAAATCCTGGCGACGCGCTCGTATAATAAAGATACAATGCAAGACTATTGGTTATCACAAAGTCTCGGGCTTCTACTAATCATCAGACGAGTATCGGGCCAAAGCTTCTCGGATTCGATGACCAGGCTGACGGGACGAATATCAATATCTCTTCAAAAATTAAATAGTCTATTGCTCTAGCTTGGTGGCTGAATGGTGATCTTCAAATCGGGTGGAGAGGATCTCGTGTTTCTCTTGGCTTTCTCCTCTTTATTTTCTTTTTTGTGCGGAATACTTCACAGTCTTTTGTCCCTCTTTCGTACATATGTATTAAGAAGCGGGCCATTCCCCCACACCGTGATCCCGGGAGACTTCGTCTCGAGCATTGACAAAGTGGCGTTTCTATCTACTATAAGTCAATACAGGAACTTTGCGATCTCTCCTTCAGCGCATTGAATACCCTCCTGTTCAGAGTCGCAATCTGTGCACGAAACTTGGCCTTCACTCATTTATATACGCCTTTATGACACGATGACAACACTATCAACATCCCGCGGCCACCAAGCCCTCGCCGTCAGCATTGTGTTTACGACTATAGCGACATTCATTACTGCCATCCGTATATTTACGCGAGCATTTCTTGTCAAACAGATGGGAGCGGACGACTATGTCATCCTAGTCTCTCTGGCCTTCTCATGGATTTTCTTCGGCCTGATGGTAGGCGAAGTCTATCACGGCATGGGCGAGCACTATACCGCTATCCCCGCCTCAATATTCAAGGCTCAGATGATCGTACGCTCCATCTCAGCAGAACATTTCTCCAGTACAATGCGGTTCCATTAACATGATTCTCTTATAGTACTTTTGGGCTTCAATTCCCGTATATCAAACAAGCCTCATCAGCACAAAGATGTCAATCCTCCTTCAATACAAACGAGTCTTCTCCACACCACGCATGCGCCTAGCATGTTGGCTCATGATCGGTGTTCTAGGCGTCTATGGAACCTGGACCATCATTAGCGCCTGGGCCAACTGTGTTCCTCTCGCCAAGTTCTGGGATCCAACTGTCCCAGGCTTTTGTTTCGATAAGAAAGCCTTATGGTTTTCCAACTCGGCTATCCACATTATTACCGATATTGTCATTCTCATATACCCAATGCCAGTCCTGAAATCGCTGCAACTGCCCACGAGGCAGAAGTTCGCTCTCATGGCTGTTTTCGCGCTAGGTGGATTGTAAGTCCAACTCTATATGACAACAGCATCTACAATGCTAACAGCAATCCTCCCAGTGTCTTGATCACAAGTATCCTCCGCCTCAAATCTCTCCTCATTATCTCCAACTCAAACGACCCAACCTGTAAGTACTAACAACATATACCCTTGCCCTCGAGCCAAATCTAACAAACTACTCCAGACGACAACGTCGGCGCAGCAACCTGGTCTGCCGTCGAGTGCAACGTAGCCATCATCTGCGCCTGTCTCCCGGGCACGCGCGCCTTCCTCTCCAAGTTCCTGCCACACATTTTCTCCACCCGAAGCAACGGTTACCGCAGCAAGACCGCGCGACCTTCGCGGAACGGCCGCAGCGCCCTCACAGGCGACGGCAACACGCAGGTCCTAGCCTCTGTCGTTGGAGGGCGTGATCATGGTTCAGGATACGACCACGATCTGGAAGATCTGTCGCCATCTGGCTCCTTCAATAGCTACACTAAGGAGCCTGCGAAGGAGGTCTTTGCGGGCATCAAGGTCACAACCAATGTTACGCAAGAGAGAACCTCGCATTCGAAGATTGCTGTTAATGATGATATGGGTAGTACGAAGGAATTGGTGAAGAAGCATAGCTTTTGATCTATAATGATCTTGGTTGATTTAACGAGTCCATTCTTTATACATATTTATTTTTTACTTTTTTATCTGGTGGTCTTCCATTTTGTCTCATATACATATAGTTTTTGTGTGGAGACCGACTTTGCCCAATTCATGGAGAGATACAGGTGGCAGAACTTGCCGAGGCCGATTGTTAGGTCTAAAAATATCCTAGGGATGTCGTCTAACACGTCCCCGTTGAAGTTACTGGCGCCCTAAAGGCCTCCGCACGTGGACTGCTATGACCTGGAGATTCTCAACTCGCCCTGCAGCTTCACTCAAGCTGCGCTCCACACGGCTACGGCTAGGACTACGTCCTCGTAGCATCTCACTCTTCTCCAGCAAAGACCATGCAGTTGTGGTCCCAACAAAAACAGAATCGAAGAGACAAGGAATAGAGCAATGCACCAGAAATTCTTAAATTCCAAACGCAAGAGACACGATTCTCTATGCTGCGAGTACTATAAAGAGGCTAGACGGGATGATGGAGAGAAAGACCTGATCAAAGTCCACCTAAAAGTCAAATTGCTTGCTTTTTTGCTCGAACAGCGAGCCATTTTGGGAATAGAAGGGCATTCCAGAGTATCCAAGAAGCTACCAGGAAACTGAGATGAGTTGGACTATTGGATGCTTCGGCTAAAGACAGGAGCAAGACAAGAAGTGGGCAATGGGCACGGAGGGCAGGTCGGAGAAGGAGAAGTAGCAAACGCAGACCCCGGCAGCACAAATCGCTGCTAAGAAATTAAAAGACCAAGACGCGAGAGGCGTTACTAAAGAGGCTTGATGAGTGAAATCAATGGCGCTAAAAGGCAGGAAACATCTCGGCGCTGGATACGGAGTACGGAGTTTGGAGTTGGTCGGACAGCCATCTACCAAACTCATAAACATGATGGGCCCATGATTCTATTTTTTACAGTACCATTGGTTGTCGCTGCCTTTGGCGTCTTGCATCTTGACCTCGAGCGGCTGCGTAAGGGATTGCTTTATCACCAGCAACAAGTATTCCCACTGCTTGCACAGTCCCGCGTCGCTGGGCAAGTTGAGATAGAAGAAGTTCTGCGTCGGACACGTATGTAGTAGCTTCTTACTCTCCGTGGAATTCCCAGTTCTGAGAATGAGGTTCAGGGTGGGCAGAGATATAGAAATGACCTCATGGTCAGTATCACATTGGAGGTTACGTGATCGGCGCATTAGGCCGTTAAACCAAAAGTAAAACGAAAGGATCATTCAGTGCTACGTACAAATTCTTCAAACACGAGCTCTAGGGTATTATGAATGCATTGTAAAGACAATTGTACAAATGTCGAAGCGAACAAAACGAGCTGATCATTCAGTATGCATGAGACCCGCCCATTGTACATTGAGAAGCCGCCCACATTTCAGAAACTAGGGGCTCGTGTCAAGGAAGATGCGAAAAGGACATAGAAAAGATTTCTAGGCAAGGATCTCGAAAACGATGGGCACCGGTATATGCAATGTGCAATGCGAAATGATGCTTGCAAATACGCATATGTCACCATGCAAATTCTAGAAACCCAACATCATCGTGAATCTTGTATCATTTGCAAAGAAGATATACTCTACTCCCAAACGTTGGAGAAGAGGTCGTCAGATCCGCCAAATCCACCAGACGGCTTGTTGTTATTCGTGTTTGTGGAGGTAGGGTTGGAGACTGGGGCAGCGCTGGCCCAGCCGCCGAAGTCCTCGTCCGCTGCCACAGTGGGTGCGGGCTTAGAAGCAGCACTAGGCGCACCCCAGCTGTTGCCCACGTCGTTCGGGGTCAAGGTGTCAGGTACCTTCATCATGGATGCAGGCGACCGTACTGAAGGACCAGACGATGGGGCAGGGTCAGGTGTGCTCCATGCATTCCCGCCCCATGGATCAAGGTTTCCAGACATCATGTTGGCTGCTGCTGTGTTCGCAGCGCTGGCTGATGGCGCTCTAGGAGCAGGAGGCTGCATCGGGGGAGCAGAAATATTAAACGCGGACTTCATTTCCTGCTGAGGGGAGGTTGCAGTAGACTTTGGGGGCGAGACCGTGGAGGCATGTGCAGGAGGTGAAGAAAACCCGAACAGGTCATTAGACAGGGACGATGATGGAGGGTTAGGCTTAACAGTCGGGGAGGTAAACCCGCCGAATCCGAAATCTTGCCCATGAGAGGAGACGGAAGTTGTTCGGGACTGGGACTTCGGAGCTGACATGGTCGGGGAAGTGAGGCTATCAAAGAAGTCGCCGCCCGCAGATCCCGAGGGCGATGTGACCTTCGGGGCAGCAGGGGTCGACTTGGCGCCGCCGAAAGATGAAAGATTAGAGAATGCCGATGGCTTCTCAGCCGGTTTGGCGGGTGGAGGAGAAGTGGTAGTCGGGAAGCTCAATCCACTGAAGGCGTCCGTCAGACCGCCCATGTGAGACGAAGGGGAGGGGGCAGGAGGCGAGGCCATGGCGCCGAATGAGTTGCCCCGCTGGTGCTGCACGGGTTGTGCTGGCTGCGGCTTCGAGTACAATGACAAGATTGACTGTTTGAGGTCCGGCCGAGACATTCCGGCTGGTGGTGCTGGTGTGGATGCTGTACTAGACGGGCGACTACCAGTAGAAGGCTGGGTGCTACCAAAGAAGTCGAGACCCAGCAAAGAATCATTGGGCTTGTGAGTCTTGACTGGTGCAGGCTGTGCTTGTCTAGGTGGCGCACGTGGAGTAGGTCCGGTTGTGTTAGGGCGAGGCGGGGGAGAGATATCGTCACCGAACAAATCAATCGAGGCTTGTTGACGGTATGCCGGGGGCTGGCTGGGAGCGGGGACTCGTTGCGAAGCAGAACGTTCAATCTTGGCTTTCTCCTGTACGACCGCAAGAGGCTAGTCGGTCAGTGATTGCTGCTAACTGGCTGGTCTATCATGCGATCACTTACCACATCGTCATCGCCGTCATCGAGGGTCGAAGGGTCAGGCATCTCACCGTCCATTACCCATCGCTTGCTCTCGTACTTTGTCCGGATGAAGTTCTCGATTTTCCTGTTCACGCTCGTTGTCAGAAACTATCATCGCCGAACGAGTGCGATTCGAATGCACTTACGCATCGGAGGGAACGTGGCCAGGTGCCAGTTTCGCTTCCCAGTATCTGCATTGTATTAGCTCATGTTCACGTAGTCGGTCAATTGGTTGCGACGAACTTGTTTGCTCTTCCATTGCCCCATCTCACAACACTCTGAAGTTGTTCATCGGTCCACGAATCGAGATCCACGGACTTGACTCGGCTGATATGAGTGCCCATACCCCTGTGAATGCCCGAGCACCGAATGCAAACAAAGACACCTAGATTCCAGGAAGCCCATCGCGGATCTATTCAGAAAACAATTCAGTATATGAGCGCCAAGAAATATCCTCGGAGATGAAGCCAGCGTGGGCGCAACTCGAGGAGGGGACCGGGGACTCACGCTTGTTCCGTTTACAGTCGGCACATATCTTGTTGTGCTCGAGTTTCAGCAGAGTCTTGATGGCCTGCGAGTTTTGGGCCGCTTGGCCTGGTGTAGGACGTCGAGACATAATAGCAGCACCTCAACAATTGATGGGTGAAAGGGATTGGGGAAACAATGAGAGCAACCTAATTATTCTTAGGTGGCGGTCGGCACGGTTGCGGCCTAAGGCTGCGGTTGTATATACGGATGGGGGAAAATGCCAGTCACGCAGTTTGATATAAAGTAGCATAGCCTCACTGTCCAATAGCAGTAGTTTTTTGAGAATATTAACTACAAACATTTTGTATTTAAGTACAATTTTTTTAAATTTAAAATCTATAAAATATGGTTGGTCCACTCAAAACGACACCTCTCGTATCATGCATGTCGGCCTTTCTGCAGCCTTTAGTTCCCGCAAATCAAAATGATGATTGAACGTCATGAAACCCCCTCAAGCTTTGGACTGAGGATCCTTAACAGCGCTGGTATCTTCTGTAAAACGCAGACTGACACTATTCACACAATGACGCTCATCCGTGGGAGTCTGATACCCCTCACCCTCGAATACATGGCCGAGGTGACCCCCGCAGTTGGTGCATACAATCTCTGTCCGCTTCATGCCAAACGTGCTATCAACATGTCTAGTCACAGCACCAGGGATGGAATCAAAGTATGCTGGCCAGCCACAGCCAGATTTGAACTTGTGGTCGGCAGTATAAAGCGGCGCATCGCAACCAGCGCAATTGTAGACGCCCTTCGACGGGTAGTGGGAATCGTATTCACCAGTTCCAGGGCGCTCAGTACCCTTTTCGCGGAGAATGCGGAATTGTTCTGTGGTCATTTATGTAAGCAGAGATCATTCATATATCGCCTAGGAGTTGCAACCCCTTCATGGTGTACAAACCTGGGTTCAAAACAGCTCTCCACTGATCTTCGCTTCTCTGGTCGGGGGGCGACATGGTATCGGTTGTTTTCTCCGGGCGGTTGGAGCTGAAGAAGGCACCAAAAAATGGAATGGTTGGTGCAGCTCTAAGAACCTTGGTGCTTGTCTTTGAATGGGGAGGCTTGCGCGTCGAGGACAAGAATCGGGAGGAGCAAAATGTTGGTGCAAGTCGGGTATGGATAGTCTGGTGTTTGAGGGGCGAAATAAGATTGCGAGATAATTGGGATCGCATAGAGAAGAACCGGTGGGCCTTAGAGACAGATTTGAAAGGGAAATAAGAGAAGAATTAGCAGTGACCGGCAACTGAAGCTGCAGAGGTGAGAGTGGGGTGAAGCTAATCCCATATGGGCACCTGAATTCGGGGCCTTTACGTCATCATGCGGGGAGGCCCCGGGGGTCGGGGACTCTTCAAGGCCTAGACTGACATCTGGCTAGGTCTATAGTACAAATAGATTTATATATTCTACATTCTACAGTGTTCAAATTCTTGGTTTATGAAAAAAAAAAATTTGTTTGATTATTCAAAACAGCCCCAGGTCCCACCTGTGAAAACTCCAGCAGTGCAGGGGTATCTTAACAAAATCTGACATGTGACGAAAATTGAAGAAAAGAAAGAGTAAAGCAAGGAAAATTCAACGGCGGTTCACCCCGGTCACCAGCATGGAGCCCCGATTAAGCTCTACGCGCCAACCCTCCTTCAGCAGCATATTCCACACGGCGGGTCCAATATGCGATTTGCGGTCAAGGGAGTGGTGACCAACACCGCAAACAATATTGAATCCGCCGTGGGAGCTCTGGCCTCCGCCGCGGACGTACTTCTGATCCCCTAGTCCATCCCACCATGCCTGCACTCTCTCGCGAGCAATTCTGACCGCGTTGGCAACCGTCACACCATGCAGGTCCAGGTCAGAGTGCGACGACTGACGGGCCACCAGCCGGTCAGAAGCAGTTGCCAAATGACGCATGGCAAGCTGACGTTGTTCGTTTCCAACGTCCCGGTAGTAGGCAGAGGCCCCTCCGTAGAGGGGGTTGGAGCGGGCGCGGCGGGCGGACTGGGAGGCTTGGGCGAGGGCAGCTGATCGGGCTGCGAAGTGAGAGTTGGCGGCGGCGGCAGCTTCGTTGAAATCCATGAAATCTGAAGCAGAATCTATCTGTTGAGCTGGCGCCACATTCTCCTCTTCGTCGTCGAGGGTGACGGGTGACGAGACAAAACTGATGATATTTGCCACAGAAGAAATATCAGGCCGACGGGACAAGGCGTCAGCCAGGTCATCTGCGGCTGAGATCTGATTGTTTGCAATACGAATCAAGCCAATTAAAGTGGTGGGTTGGACGCCGGGGTACTTGTGACTGAGCTCCCCACTTGCGTGACGAGTACAGGATCGTCCTCAATCTCATGGATGTCCTTGGGTGCATGGGCCTGTGCCAAGACTCTGATTGTTGCACAGAGTGACATTGAGTTTTCATGATAAGTCGAAGCAATTTTCTCCCTCTGCAAAGCACACGCCCGCGAGGAAATAAAGTCAATGTCCTTCTTTCCTGTCTCCCATTTATTCGTAGCGGTGTTATTCATGGCCTGGGAGGCCAACTCGACTCGACGTTGTTTCTGCTGCTTCTTCTTCTTTCGGGATTTCTTATCGCCGCCGCTGAGGTCTTCTTTGGCCTGGAAGCCATCGATTGACTTCGGAACGGAGGATGGACTGTCTTGCGCAGCCTCTTGGGGAGTTTGTTGAGGAATTTCTCCAGCAATTTGTGTCTCCTCAATAAAAGCAAGATTGAGCAAGACATCCATGGACCGACTGAGGTTGTCATGGCAATCTTCGAGGATGCGCTCAGCTTCCAGGCGAGTAATAGTCGGGAACATGCTAATCAAGTTTTGTGCCTTGTCAGCAGTCGTCATACCCAAGAAGGTGTATGCACGCTTTGAGCCTTTGAGCCTTTGGGCCTCACGACTGTCGTTGTTGGTGTCATCATTTTCCTGGTCAGGGTGGTCAATCGATGGCCAGCTTGTAAAATCCGAGGGAGCATCATCAGATGATTCGCCGATCAAAGATCCTGAGACGTCAGAATTTCGGAGATTGGTTGTGCCTGTGGGGTCAAATGGCAAGTTCTCTTGCTCGACAGCAGATGCGTTCAAGACGTCCAGGGTTTCACGTAACTGTTCAACCTGAGTGGGGATCGCCAAGTCAAAGTCTGATACGATCGCAGCAAACAACGCCGGATCAATCGGTGGACAGTAAGTGCTTTCAAGCTCCTAAATAAAAATCAGAATTCAGACCAGAGCATGGCAAGCAAGTGGTATAGTGACAAGCTATGCCTAAACTGTGTGTGAACCAGTGGGACGCGGCATACCTTGAAGAGCTCATTGCCGGAGTCCCCCATGGCTGTGATCATGGATTTTGTTACAGTGATATTGGAGGTATTTGTTTCATTCCCTGCGAAGGACTGCGAGGTTGGACAATTGCAAAGGACGTTAGTGGGAGTGACGAAGGTGAAAAGTGGCTTTTTCGTGATGATCTTGATACCTCCGATAAGATAGAGATAGAGATCGATGCGGGTAATGATGATGGGGGAGCCAATCACAGAGCCAAGTGACCGTCACGTGCCGTGATCACGTGGGTGGGGTAGCCTAGGTAGGAAGTCGCACGCATTCGCAGATCACGTGTCAGGGTAATAATGGAACGTTAAAATGTTGCAACTAAACCTCAAGACAAAACGATCGCAAATTAGGATTCGAATGAGGTTGCTTTCTTACGATTTAGAGAACTAACAACAACATATATAATTGTATGTATTTGTTGCATCCAAACTACATGGATCCCTATATCTGCCTCATGTAAGTTACAGCAGTATCCACAGAAGCTGAGGCTTCTAATTATGCATGATTAAGTTGGAGCTTGTATGCAGAGTGCGCCCTCTATTTGCTTCTTGGAATGTCTTGATTAACGGAGCCTACATGTTCATTCCTGCAAGTATAGATTCAACTGCCTCTGTTTCCTTCTCTTAGCCATATTGGGGCTCATGGTATGTAGGTAAACTATAACAAACACCTCCTACCACTACAATGGAGAATTGACTTTAGATCTATGAAAATCATTGTTTCAAACATTACCTTGCAGCAAGATTCAATCATCGAACAGCTGCCGACATAATACGAATCCCGCCTCTTTGTTAACCCTATTATCCCAGACTAGATGACTTGATTACAGCTTGTCAGCCAAGAAACATTATTAGCAAAGTCACCTGGCAGGAGAATCCATTTTTGCTAATTGAAAAGTGATGAGAGATGAGTAGAAAAAAAACATTCGATCAGTCACTGAAACGTAGTATTAGGGCTAATATATATGTATGATATAGCGATGTAATATTCATAAGTCTTAGAGAAAGCTTTATCCTTTAACAACACATGCCATACTCTAAGGGAACAAGCATAATATCAAGTCTACGTACATATGTAGATTTTGACAATCTTGTTAAGTTCCATGAGTTTTACCAATGTTGCGAACATCGGGATCTGGTCCCGAGTCCAATTTACTTCGGTGCCTCCATCCGACTTTTAACTATGACTATATCTTTAATCAATGATGTCCATCTAGATACTTTGTTGAACCAAATTTCCAGCTTTGTATCTCAATCGCCAAAAGATATCTCATAATGCTGCCATCCCATTGTCTTCGAACAAAGAGCAATGCATTTTCAGCCTGTTTTTCCCAGCATCTCCGAAGTTTTTCAAGTACGGGTATAAGATCCATGACACGAAAAGAATTCCTTTGCATCCTTCCCGACAATCCAAATGTCCTTGCCATCAGAAAACAAGTTAAAGGGTTAGTATATACTATAATATCTAGATAGCTAGATTGGACTGAACACAGCTGACATTGACTAGAATCCACTACGACGGAATCAAGCCATTAATAGCGGCCGGAAAGCTTGTGGATGGAGGTGCTATCTTTGAGAAACACCCTGAAGAGGGAAAGGATGCCCTGTTTAAGGGTAGCGTGATCGTGTACTCGGCTAATGATGCTGAAGAAGTCCGCACTATTCTTGAAAAAGATGTTTACGCCACGAGTGGTGTGTGGGACTTGAGTAAAGCTCAAATTTTACCTGTTAGTAGAGTCTTTCATCCCCATGAGCGGGTGCTAATGAGTGTAGTATGTCGCAGCTGTTCGAGAGCCGCTTTCATGATGAATTTGGATTCTCGAAATGTATATAGAATGCAGCAAATGAGAGAAATTGCGCCGAGGTTAAGGGACCAAATTGTACGATAAAATAACTATAGTAGTCCCTGGTCGATCCCTGGTTGTGTATATAAAAAGGCACTACGTGCCACCTAAGTCTATCAGTTGAAATATCGTTCGCAATGTTGTGAGCTAAATGAAACTAATTATTGAAGTCCTACGTCAAGGGCAAAGACTGCATAAGTCACCGACTATTCTTGTGAATATAATTTCAGGTGTGAAAGTAATTTGATAGTTTACCTGTGTATGGACTAACATTATGCTTGGAACAGCGTTTGAAGTTTAACGAGATGAGTAATTGACAAACACATAACGAGTCCATGATTCATTCGTGGGAATGTTAAGCATTGAAAAAAGATAATGAAATACACAAGGTATAGGATCGTGGTGTACCCAGGAGGGAGAGAACAGAAAAAGGAAAACCCCAGACGCTATGCGAAGAGATAAATCAAAGCTTGTGCCCAAACACGTCATTCGGCCCACGCATTGGCCGAATATACTGCACTCTTTAGCGCCCGCATGATACCGAGCCGGAAAAAAGACGCAGGAATCAAAGAGGACAACCCCCTGCCAAAGCCCCAATTCACCTTCCCTGGTGCTAGATGCCAATGAGTGCGTAATAATACGAGCCGCCTTGAGAATTGGTACACGGGGAATTATGAAGACACATTTGAAAGGATATGGGTAATGCATGAAAATGGGAGAACGCGGCTTGAGTGTACATGTTCTAGGAACATCCTGAACTGACAAAAAGCATGGGTATTTCCGTGCGCTGCTAAAAACGAGAAAGCAGAAGTGTGGGAAGAAAAGTGGAAAGGAAACGAGTGAGGATGCCAGCCCCAGATTCACCACATATCGTCGTCATCGTCGTCATCAAGTTGGACGTCGTCGCCAAAGGACGAGTGTCCGTACTGGTAGTGGCCCGGGCCGTAAGCTTGGCCATTTTCATAGCCCTGCTTGTCGCTCCTCGAATGGCTACCGTAGCGATCGCGATCATGCGGATCGTCATCATAGTCGTACATGGAAGAGTCGTCGTAGGCACTTTCTCCGTAGTGTTGTTGTTGCTGTTGCTCCTGTGACTGTGCGAGAAGGTTAGTAAGCTTGTACTTCCCCAGGACGGGAGCCATATTTGCGTACCTGTTGGTATCGCTGATATTGCAAATACTCATCTGGCTGATCTCTTGATTTCGATGATCTCTGGGATGACCCAGATGAAGCAACCGGCATCTGCGGGTGCATCTGCTGTACCTTGGCCAGGTATGAGTACATGAAGTTGCTCAGTAATACTTGGGAGTACAGAGCTCGCCGGGGATTCGCAAGCTTGATATGCGCCATCCGGTAAATGGCTCGCTCCTCTAAAATCGAAAAGCGAGACCATGGATAATCAACGTCGGCGCGAAGTAGTCGCATTGGGGGCTCGGGAGAAAGGTTTCGAGACGAATGTTTTCGGTGATGGCCTTCATTAGCGTGCTTCTTTCGTCCGCCACCAAAAATAGAAGAGAAAATGCCATCCTTTTCTTTCTTTGAATCTCCCGACGCTCTCCTCACGCCGTCTTTGCGTCGTTCTTCATCAAGCTTCGGATCAAGGCGGTCCAAGACAAGACTTTCGCGTCCCCGCGGAGTGCTCTCGATAGATGATTGTAAAACGTCCAGACGTGTGCTGTCATGGGTTTTGTCGGCAATCTTTGATTTGGTCTTTTTCGAGTCGCTGTCCTTGTCCTTCTTCTTGTCTTTTTCTTCGCTGCCCAGCAACCAGTGCCAACTAGACTTGCGGCTACCATCAGAGTCCTTCTTGTCTTTGGATTTCTTGCTCTCGGATTTCCGTTCTTCAGGTTTGCGTTCTTCTGAGACGGTAGGGATGAATGAAAGACTGTCGGTGCGGGTACTATTACCAGGTATCATCTGAGGGCTATTGGCAAAGTCATTGAGCGAAGATGCGGGTTCGTGGGGAGGGAGGCGAGGATTCTTGGGGCGTTTTGGTGGCGGGTCATGCGAAGTCGCGGGTTTCGACGACGGCGTAGATACCGCGGCACGATCCGATGTTGCACGATCCGATGACCCCCTACTTTGTGAAGGGGGACTTGGTATGCGGTTGGATTCAGCGGGAGGTGTTTCAATAATTGCGGGGATCTTCTGGTCGTCTGCGGCAATGTTCAAGGTAGATCGGCCATTTGAGCTGATACGAGAATGCCATTTCCGTGAATTGGCCCCATCTCCTGACTCGGGTCGATCCAGAGCAGCATCCGCTTGCCCACCTGAGGTGGGCAAGCCTTCCTGCTCGGCCTCAGGCTGGTCGAGAATCGGATCGAATGTCGAACTCACGGGTGAACTTGGGGCATAAGCTGAGCCATGTGATGAGGCAGAGGGAGCTCGAGCCGCACGCGTCGTTTTGGGAGTAGGATCCGTCGAAACACGGGTGAGCCCCATAATCGTGGGCTCTTGAGGTGGTAGAACAACCGAAGGTCCTGTATCACTTCCTGCAGATTCAGATGCTCCTCGTCCAACTCGTTTAGAGTAGGGTAACTTTTCGCCCTTTTTCAAACTGCCCGCTTTCTTATATTGTGTCCGGGTTGATCGGCGTAGGCTGTTTCCCGGAGGTGCAGGGGGCAGGATCGGCCTGTCTTCGATTCCTGCGATACCGATATTCTGTATGCCGCGCACGAGTGATTCCTTGTTCATCGGTTGAGAATCATCCACCAAGCTTTCCAACTGTTGCAAGTTGGGACTCAACATGCCAGCTCGCTTACTTGATTGAGAGCGTTTATGTTCCAACCGATCCGCGCCATCTGTATAACCTGAAGAATTATCGATTTGTCTCGATAACATAGAGCGCTTCCGATTCAGACCACCTCCTGACCCTTGGCGTTCAGAACCTAAAGTCGAATATTCCCCGGATCTGCGTTTAATATGGTCGGCCTTGCTATCGAGAAAAGATTTGAACTCTTTTGGGGCCAGTTCGGGGTGTAGTCGCGCAGGAACCCAGAATAACCGGGAGGCGTCATCTTCGTCGGCCGAGGGCGAGGGGGGTGATGCGAAGCCTGGGAGGTCAGGGTCACCGGCGGCGGCCACATCCATCGACATGCGCCGAATCGCGGCCAGATTGTTCAGTTCTTGGACGACGGCTGCAGGGTTCGATTCATAGTCGATATCGTTGAGAGGAAAAGAGGACGTTGCAGTGTCCGAGGGCATGCGAGCACCATCGGAATGCCCGGGATCACTTTCCCGATCGAAAGACCGGTTCGAAACAGGCGGCGGCCGTTGGCTTCCATTTGCCCGTATTGTTTGCCCGTCGAACGAGGATCGGTGAAGTGGCGAGGACGGAGAAAGGGACTCGGATCCTGCGGCGGGGCGCGAGATGGTTGTTATTGACTCGCCGAGGGGGGTTGTTATATAGCTCAGGCGTCTCGCATCATTAAGCTCGTAGTTGTCGTCGTACATGTGTCCGATGGCTTCCGTCACATGGTGGCTTGGATCGCTAATTGATAGATGGGCGGCATGACCTCTCCGCGTCGCATGCCCGCCAGCCTCGTGGGCACTCGTGGAAGCCTGAATAGATACAAAATAACATTAGAATCAAATCCTCCAGTTTCAAGTCAAGATCATATTCTCAGTGTCCACATGAAAGGGGTCCAATTCCACCAGGTTATGGTTGTGCCTGAGGGGTTCGAGGCTGAGGGGGGCCGATGGAAAAAAAAAAAAAAGTCACGCCCACATGGAGCAAAGAACGAGGACCGGAGAAAGCGACGCACCTGCATGGGAAGCCAGTTGTACAGGAACCAGAAGACGTCAAAGACGGAGCCCGAAGGGCGGAAGCTTAGGAGGAGGGGGCAGTGTCAACCACGTTGGATAGCAAGGAGGAACGGGTCATCGAAGCGGGGAAAGAGGAATGGAGACAAAGGGCCGTAGATACTCGGATACTACCGAGTCCGAATGAGCGTCATGGATAGATTTGGGGAGAAAGGAAAGAGAAGAGAGAGGAATGGAGGATGGGGGGAGTTTAGCGGGCGGAGAGGAAGAGAGTACATACCTCCGCACCTGACATCTTACACTCTAAATGTAATTCTTCTATATTAAGATTTTCTATCTAGGGGTTTCTATGTTTTTTTAATTTTTATTCTTGTTAGGTCTTTTTAGGTCTTTTAGGTCTTATTTCATTGAGAACTTATTGGCTCCACTTAAACGGGAGGGAATATGGGCGATCGGTTGATCTACATCCTCCACGTTCTTTTTCTTTCTAGTTTTGAATTCAGTGATACATCCTTTTGGTTCGAATTTTAACATCGGACTCCAAAGTAAGTACTAACTATCTTTCAGAGCTGACTTATAATATATATATATATATTTCGATCCGTGACACCGCATCCATGTACCTCAAGGGCTGAATCGCCCACTCAGTACATTCATCTTTGACGCAAGGCCTGGATTGACATTGGGAAGGTTGATCCGATGAGAAATTAAAATTTTGCCATCGGAAAGTCGCAGGATATCGTTTAATCTATAATATGCCTAGATGGATGAACTAGACGGGGTCAGACCTGGGATCTCATAGAACGTCGTGTAACTTGATTCGACCTCGGGGACCGAATACAATAGCTGGATATGCCGCGCACCTTACCATGCAAGTGTTCGTACAATTCAATAGCACGAGAGGGTCCAGGCCAGAACGCACATTTCAACCAACCGTGAGAGAAAGAGATGAGTGGATGGGATTGTCAGGTTATCAAACTCAAAATGTCAGCTCAGGCCACCGAAATGGAACTGAAAGCTGTATTCAACCTAAGATACGAAGAGACCTATGAGGCATAGATGGAACAAAGTCTGAAAAACCCCCCCCGGGGGAAATCACAACCAGATGGGAAATGCTCTGCATAAAACCAAAAAGATCCAAAATGACAGTATCCCCAAGCCCCCAGTAACGAGGAAAACGTATGAGAAACTCCAACGCTGAAGAATGTAAATGGCATAAACTTGAACATAAATAAACGAAAGAATGGAAATGAAAAGAGTTTGACGAATCCGTATACGCCAGGATATATGTAGGGCAAGAGTCGGGAAAATGTATGTTCATCAAGCCCCGGAGAAATGTGCATCAAGAGTTCATCATAGTGTGTGCTACATGGACCAGCATTGGACACGCACAAACTTAAGAGGCCTCAACGTAGTTGCTGCGAATGAATTAGCCGTCAATTCTAGAAAGTGGAAGGAATCTGCTCTTACCTGGGGAAGATGCCCACGCGATCACCAATGCGACCAGTCCACCAGTCTTCTGCCTTCTCCGTGCGCTTTATTATGGTTATGACTTCACCCTTCTTGAATCCAAGGTCACCCTCCTGGTCCGCATCGAATGTGAAAAGGGCAACGGCTTGGTCTGATCGCAATTGGGATGCACCAGTCTTTTGCTGGAAGACGGGCTTAGGAGCAGTTGGACGGGTAGGTCTGCGATCCGAATAGACATACTCCTCCTCGAATGGCGCAGTGTTACTCCGGTTGCGCCCATAGCTATCGAATGAATCGTCGGCAGGGGCCCGGGTTGTTGCGGAACGACCAAGTCCCGAGGCAGGCCGATCATAAACATCATCAGCCCAGGTGTTTGCACGGCGCGGTTTATCGCGGTAGTCATAATTATTTTCTGTGTTGGATCGACCACGTTGGGCTCCTTGACCGTAGGCATCGCCCTTGCGTCCCTCCCAGACCACGTCGTCATGGCTCTCGTCATAGACAGGGATATCATTGTACATGGAGTCACCGTAGGCTCGCGTATTTCCTTGGAATGCACGAGAGTTCAGCACGCGCATGAGAGCATCTGCGGCCGGTGGGGGGCGAACGCTGCCGGTGAGGAGTTGGTTCGCGGAGACTCGGCTGCGGTACAATTTCTCGTTCGCATCCTTGCGTTCCACCAGCATACTGCCTTCCAGACTGACACCGGCGAATAGACCCTTGGTTTTTGAGTAGGAGAAGACGGCCGCAACGCCCTTCGTACTGGCTGCGCCGGCAGCCTCGGCATTTCGGCCAATCGGTCCAGCAGCGAGTGATACATTACCACCCAGTGTCAGTGTTCCCGCTTGCGAGAATGTGCGAACGGCAGCGGCATCGTTGAGAATGAAAACAAAGTCGGTCAACTCAAACCCGATCTGCCCTCCTACTCCGGCACCTGCAGTCGCAATAGCTGATGGAGCCGACCAGGTCCCATCGCTAAGACGAGCGACCACGATACCGGAGCCGAATCGACCGGAGCCTAGGAAACCTGCCTTCAGAACCGTGAGGACCGCGAGACCCTAAGGGAAAAGGTCTGTTAGCCATGGATGTTCTCAACCGGGGCTTATGGGGGGTTCTTACCTTTGCATTGGCCAAAATCTCTGGGGGAATGACCTTGTCGGGACCGAATGATTGCCTAGGATCAACGAATGATGTCAAGATCTTTGCTGCCTTTTTGCACTCGCCTGTTGAGAGAGCATCCACTGTCAGCCGGATATGCCGCATAACAACTGCGGGGAAGTGGGCTTTAGAGATTGAAACTTACTGGCCATAGACGAGGGCAACGGATTGTTGATCCCGAGAGGCATCTTGGGTGGTGATTATCAAGGTACGAAAGAAAACTCGACTGGGGAAGGGAGAAAGGGAAACAGTTGATGTCTTGAGGGTAACGGTTAGTCAGTTAGGTGTGGGCCTGCCCAGGTGACGGCTAACGCGGGACATCGGTTCGGAGGCTCAAGACGTACCTCGCAGAACTCCGAAACTAGATTAATAGGTGCAATACGATTTTGGAGATAGTTCAAATGAACTATATGTAACCATACAGCGAATTGGTGATCAAACACTCTCATTAGTAGCCCTGGATATCCCACGTATGCCAATCATGGGATCTCTGGTCTGTGGCGGAGCAAAACGAGCATTGCTTGGCAAATTGGGATTTCATTAACATTTAAATATTTTGGATATATAAAAGGTACAAAGAGATTGTAGCCAAAGGAATAGTCTACCATGTTTAGAGAAATTGTATAGTCATTAGCATTCACATGTGTACGGAGTACATGGAGAAGCCATAGGCGCCAAGACCATTATCATATCACGATTGTCTCCGGAACCTTGGAACTTATCCACCTCCATACAACTTGACTAGACTGTCTACAAGGCCATGGTTGGATTATGATCATTACGTGACTTCGCTAGACGCGAAAAATGGCATCAGGTATGTTGGATGTCTCAACCTCCGAATCACTGCTAACAGGCCATTCGTTCAGTTCGCATTTGCGTCTGCGGCGACGAGGGCACTGGCAAGTCCAGTCTGATCACCTCGCTCGTCAAAGGTGTATTTGTTACGAACAAAATTCAACCCGTTCTCCCCCAAATCACCATCCCTCCCACCCTCGGGACCCCGGAAAATGTCACCACCACGACCGTCGTCGACACCTCGGCCCTTCCCCAGGAACGGAACAATCTCGCGCGAGAGATACGGAAATGTAACGTGATTCTCCTCGTCTATTCCGACCACTACAGCTATGAGCGGGTAGCTCTGTTCTGGCTTCCATACTTCCGCTCGTTGGGCGTCAATGTCCCGGTAGTGCTGTGTGCCAACAAGTCCGACCTGGCGACTGGTCATAGTGAGACCCGAGTGGTTGAGGAGGAGATGCTTCCTTTGATGGCAGAGTTTAAGGAAATTGATTCGTGTATACGTACGAGTGCTCGGGAGCATCGTAACGTTAACGAAGCCTTCTTTGTTTGCCAAAAGGCTGTCACGCACCCGATCGCGCCGCTGTTCGATTCCAAAGAGGCGGCTTTGAAGCCCGCTGCGGTAGCAGCCTTACAAAGGATATTCTACCTCTGCGACAAAGACCGCGATGGGTATCTCTCAGATAAAGAGCTCGAGGATTTCCAGGTCCGGTGCTTCTCCAAACCATTGAACGAAGCGGATCTCCACCACATCAAGGACACTATACAAAAAGCCTGCCCGGACTCGGTTACGGAGTCAGGCATTGACTGCCAAGGGTTTATTCATTTGAACAAATTATATTCGGAGAAAGGGCGACATGAAACAGTCTGGATCATCTTGCGAGCGTTCCAGTACACGGATAATCTCTCACTGCAGGAGAAATTCTTACACCCAAAGTTCGAAGTACCACCGTTTGCCTCTGCCGAACTCTCACCCGAAGGGTATCGATTCTTTGTGAACCTATTTCTCCTATCCGATAAGGATAATGATGGGGGCTTGAATGAGGCCGAACTTGCGTCCTTGTTTGCTCCCACCCCGGGCTTGCCCGCATCATGGGCCGACGGCTCATTCCCATCCTCTACAGTCCGCAACGAGGCAGGACATGTAACACTGCAAGGCTGGCTTGCTCAGTGGAGCATGACTACCTTCCTGTCTCCGAAAACTACCCTCGAATACTTGGCATACCTGGGCTTTGAGCCCTCCGACCAAAGCGATCAGTCTATCACTGCGGCATTGAAAATCACACGACCACGAAGAAAACGTCGCCGCCCGGGCCGTGTGGGACGAAATGTCGTCCAATGCCATGTCCTGGGAGCCCCTGGATCCGGAAAATCGGCCCTGCTCGATGCACTTCTTTCTCGTGGATTCAGCACGACCTACCACCCTACCATCCAACCCCGTACCGCAGTGAACACAGTGGAGCTTCCGGGCGGAAAACAGTGCTACCTGATTCTGGATGAACTGGGTGAGCTGGAGCCTGCTTTGCTGGAGAACAAGTCCAAAGTGCTGGATCAGTGCGACGTGATTGCGTACACGTATGATTCC